ACATGGGCTTCAACATATTCCTATCTTCTCCTGTTCTGTTTTTTGCACCTGTGCTCATCGGGTTGCACGGACAACCCTAAGCCCTGAACCCTCAAGCCCCTTGTTGGGCAGTAATCTAATTTATCCAAGGGTAAAACGAGGGACCCTTAATAAGGACCCCTAGGTATATACCCTTAATATAGCTGCTATATACCCATGATATAGCCCATTATAGGGTAGGGGTCCCCATTAAGGGTCCCTCCTTTCCCCCTTGGGGTTTGGTGGATCCCTTTGCATAAAAAGGGTGCCGTACTACTGTGGGAAGCTAAACACGGACCCTACTGTTGATGATCTAAATCCTGCAATACCCATAATAAGGAATACACCAGAATTCCCATGGTTTGGTCCTTAAGGTAGGGCAGGGCAATTTAAAGAACTACCCTATAGCATTCCCCGACGACTCAGAGACTCCAATATCCCTTAGTTAAGGAATATACCTTAAAATATAATATAGTAGGGTCCCTCATATGATTTAAGGAATATTCCTTAGTTAAGGGATATTGGAGTCTCTGGGAGCAGCAAAGTCCCCAAACCCTAAACCCTAAACCCTAAGGGCTCAGGATGTAGCGTTGCCCAGGGTTTAGGGTTCGGGATTGAGGGTTTCGGGTTTAGCGGATATCCTGAATAACCCACTTTGAGAACCTCCAGCAGAATGCGACAGTTTGAAGCTATTGAACGTGGCTCAAGAACTTATGCATCTGCAACAGGTCGTACATAAAGTTTCACGAATCCTGGAACATGCCCTAGGGGCCCTTGTGTAGAGGTGTGCCTGAACTTTGCGTAAGGCTTCTGTTTGAAAAGGGTTGTTATACAAGACCTGTCACAGATGAACTCCTCTCCATGATCCGTTGCGTCGGGCTGCGATGTCGTCACCGGGGTGGATGACACTTGTTCTTCTTGTGTCCTCGCAGCGTCGCTGCAAGCTGCAAGGATCAATGTCGGGCTATCACTCTCGGCTCCAAGAAATCATACATGTCCCCAAATACTATCCTACATTACTGCGGAGTGCCTACTATATAAACCTATATCTGGAGATTCTTCGGCGGGTTCAGGTGTTCCGGGGTACTACTGGGGGGACGTGACTGGCACTGTACGGACTATGGTTTTCCCAACAGGAGCTGAACCCCAAGACCTTACGCAATCCTTCTTAAAGCCGCAAGCATAAGCCCCACAATCTGAACAACTCCGAACTGCCCACTTAAGGAAGCACATTTCAATCCTGTTCGAACACTTTAACACACTGTCTAGTAGGTATCAGTTGTATACTTGGAGTATTACGGCTTCGGTTTCAATGAAATTTTCTTTAAAGTAACCTAGGTGGGGCTTTTAATGCCTTTGAAAAATATTAGTAAATGAGATCCTCGTAAGCCCAATAAGGGGAAATATAAAATGTCCCAAAGCCCCACCTAGTAACTTAATCATCAGCCATGTTGGCTCCGCTACCCTTCAGCCCCTTGGGCCTCTATAGCGGTTAAGCTTTAGGGGTTTAGGGTTTAGGGTTTAGGGCTTTGGGGCTTAGGGTTTAGGGTTTAGGGGTTTAGGGGTTTAGGGGTTCAGGGTTTAGGGCTTTGGGGCTTAGGGTTTAGGGTTTAGGGTTTAGGGGTTTAGGGGTTTAGGGGTTTAGGGTTTAGGGTTTAGGGTTTAAAGGTTTAGCGGTTCTTTTTTTAAATGCAATGCCCTTTTCCTTGCGTCCAAGGGTCGGCCTCGAGAAGGTTTAGGGGTTCAGGGTTTCGGGTTTAGGTTTTAGGGTTTAAAGGTTTAGGGGTTCAGGGTTTAGGGTTTAGGTTTTAGGGTTTAAAGGTTTAGGGGTTCAGGGTTTAGGGTGCGACACCTGAAATCGATTCAGGAATTTCAAGCGCCTAAGCCCGGAAAAGAATTGTTCCTTGCTAACCGTGCGCCCTATGAATTAACCCTAGTTACCCCATTATCCCTATAAGCCCTGGAAGCCCTGCATCCTACTCCCTCATGCACACCTCTCTTTGTCTTTATGAAGCCTTTCGGTGCACTGAATCCGCCCGGGCTTGCATCCAATTCAGGTTTCCCCTCACTGCACACCCTAACCGTGCACGATAAAGCCTGCAGCGTAAATCCTCAACAGCAAAAACCACCCCAAGCCTCAGACGCTAAGCCCTCAAGAACCCCTCAAGGGCGAAGAGGTGGGACCCTTAATGGAGACCCCTACCCTGTAATGGGCTATATAATGGGTATATAATGGCTATAGTAAGGGTATATACCTAGGGGTCCTTATTAAGGGTCCCTCCTTTTACCCATGGATCCCCGAACCCTGAAAACCCTAAGCGCCTGTGCCAGCAGATCCTCTCTTGCCTTTTTCTTGGGCCCTGCCCGACCTACTCCGACCTGATCCGCGTGTGGAGGGGGAGGGTCGGTTTGGGGATCCTTGAAGGGATTTTGCGGGCTCTGCTTCTTTATATATATATATATATATATATATAAAATATGTGTATATATATATATATAATTATGTGTATATATATATATATACATACATTATCTTGTACTCTGGACCCTACGGTATCCGTTCGGGGCCGTGAGTGCCGATCAGATGCTTCCACGTGTAGAGGCAAATGGACAACCCGACAGCAGGCCCTCAAAGGATGTTGTAAACAAGGGAGCCGATGAGAAAGATGCCACGCGCCATCTCTAGCCATAGAATGTGAGGGCGCACTGTCTTGCCCTATGTAGCCGGGGAACAAGCTATTTGGAGTTCTGATTTTGGGGGTTCTTAAGAAACAGAACCCCAGCCGCCTGACGATGTATCTGTAGCATTGTATCCTGCGCTTCTCATGTCATAGCTCAGGGCTGAGAGCTTTGGTTTCCAAGCTACTGAAGTTAATGCCAAACTGCTGGGGAAGTTAACCACGGTTTAGGGTTTAGGGTTACAGTTCTTGTTGAGGAAGGATGGAGGTCTACGACAAATCAAAAGGACCCTCTCTGTGCTGGAAGCCGTCCTGCGTTACTTAAAGGTTCATGGGACTTAGTAACTAGGGTTATAAATAAGGTAACTATACTCGCAATTGCTTATAACCCCAATTAGGGGACTTGTAACCTTACTTACTAGGTCCCCTGACCCTCCAAGTACAACATGACTCTGAGGCGACAAACCCATAACACCTACGCAAACTCAAGCAACCCTAAACCCTAAACCCTACCCGAACCCGGCACATCGAATCAACAATCCAGGCTGGACAAGTCGTACTTGGAACCTAGTTCACTCCCCTAAGACTCCGTAAACATATTATGCAAACCTAGGATACCCAGTAACCTAAGAATAACAAGGCTTCTCTTTTTGGTATTGGGTAACTTTATAAGGAACCTAGGACTACAAAAAGGGAATAAGGGTACTACTGGGCATCCTAGGAAGCTATTCCAGCGGGCCGGACCCAAAGGAGATTATGGGTTGAGCTGGTTCGTGGGACATCGCGTGCAGCTTAATTAGGGGTACCTTCTTGGGGGTCCTTATAATAGGGATCCTATAATTTCGGGTACTATATTTGGGTCCCCTATTTTCGGAAACACCCATATGGGTAGTTGTCACAATTATGGCCCCTTTTTAGGTACTCTAAATATTAGGTGCCGTATTATAATCAGGACCCAAAAAGGGACCATAATTTTGACAACCACCCATGTGGGCTTTAAGGACCTCTGATATCTGGGTGCAACTTGTAGGATTCAGGATTTGACAGCCGGGAGCTTCGTACCTCGAGTCGCCCCAACTATACCCTCTTCCAATGCCTAACCCTAGGGATCAAAATAGCACAAAAGCCGTCCGTAGTATGGTCTTTGGGCCCAAAAGCCTTAATATATGAGTCCTTAGATCCCTAGGGTAAGCGATCACTGGGTCTCTCACAGGGCGTACTTGTGCCTGGGGTTTAGGGTTTGGGGTTCAGGGGCCGTGATTCCTTGGGCGAGAAGCGCAACACAGAAGCAAGATGACGTGCAAACAGCGCTTGTTTTATGGCTTGCACTTGTGGCGATCAGCGTCGAATCATTGGCTTGGTCGGGTAGGGAGGGGAGGGCAGAAGCTTGCGAATGGACGAGTCAATCCTAAATCATTGACCCTCTCGGTGCTGACAACTTATACGACGGAGCGCTTTGTCAGCCTGAGCTTTCCATTTCCATGTCTGTATGCACGAGGCACGACGGTGCACCACACTTTAAAATGAAAGCCTGCCGTCATGCCCATACAAAAATCCACAACATCCTAGAACAAACCTGTAACACATGCATGAGACCCTGAAATACAACTATACAACACTAACGAACACTTTGTCAAACAATTTGTGAGAATCTTTTGAAACCACATCAATACCCAGCGCCTCATAAGCCCAGACAGACCCCAAAAACAAACAGCCGGCAGAGGCATAGAGTATCAGAGCCTCCTCGAACGAACAGCGGGTGCCCGCATAACATGTAGTCAGGTCTTATGCTTGGCCTTATACTTCCTATATCAAACCTGCAAACTAAAACCCTTTCAGCCGAAGTGCGTAATTCAGGGGTTTTGGAAGGTCTGGGAACCTCCGCAGCTGCAAACAGTTGCTGGTTTCGGCCGGCTTCAGTCGGACGTGCAGCATCTAGGATTCTCCTGAACCCCCCCCAAAGCTGGTAGATGAAGGGTTGTAACGACTATGAGATAACATGGTCATCAAATCCCAAACCCTAAACCCAAAGCCCCAAACCTAAAGTTGAAGCGTTCTGGATTTGTGCTTATTCGGTTGTCGTCGGTCCCAACATGTGCCGGCCACTCGCAAGCCCCAGAGAGAACAGAATGCAGCACGCATTCCTACACTTGGAGGGGCTCCGGCGGGTTTGCACCTACAGATATAACCCAGAAACTGCGAGCACTAAGGCGTGGGAATCGTAGTGGTGGTGCAAGGTCGCAATAGGAGAGCTAGAAGATCGATTTTGGGGTCCGGGCGGTCAAGGTGCTGGCCCAAACATGCTCAGATCGACGAACAGTGGCTGCGACAGTCCGAATCAGAAGCTCCTTTGCCTCGGATCTTTTGAGTGGCGATGGGGCCCAAAGACTACATGACATAGTGATCTCACAGCTAGTCCCACCAATGGGGACCCGTATATTCCGAGAACGGGGTTCTTCGTGTGCCGGTGTTCCCCTACGCGGATGATGGTGCCTGGGACACTACCCTGAGGGCCCAAACGTAATCCTTTGGCCGGTACGTCAACTTTAACCTGCAGCAACCCATGAACCCTAGCAGCCCTAAGGCTAAAGCCCTAAAGCCTAAACCCTAAAGCCCTAAAACCCAAAGCCCTAAAGCCCTAAACCCTCAAGCCCTAAACCCCAAAGCCCAAACCCTAAAGCCCTAAACCCTACGAACTCGAAATTTACCCCTCAGGTCGGGACTACGAGCCCGGCATCTGGACTTTGGTGGCTCAAGGCTTCACTCGCTTCGGCTTCGTGTGGGGCCGAAAGCTCTATAAGCCGTAAAACCCTGAGACCTACCTGTGTGTACATATATATATATATATACACCATATATATATACATATATATATATATATATATGTGTGTGTATGTATGTATGTATGTATGTATGTATGTATGTATGTGTGTCTCTGCATATATATATATATATATATACATACACGTTCTTACCGTTATATCTAAACCCCTATAAACAAATAAATAAATGACATATATATATATATATATATATATATGTATACTCCAAAGCATCAACCAAGGCTCAAGGGTGGCGGGAACAAGCCCCCCCCCCCCCAACACACAGAGATAGTGAGATAGTGTTTGGGGGATTCTTGGGGATATAGATCACCCTCTCAATAAGGTCCCTTTTAAGAGAGCCACAAGTATGGTTAAGAAGGCCTGTCAGGGATCTCCCTAATACATGGTAGGACGATCTTCTCTTGCATGTGCTGGGAGTCTAAAAGAGGAAAGCACTGAACCCCCCTTCAGGACATGGAGTTTAGAGTTCAGAGAAAATTGCGCTGTAGGGCTTGGAGGTTAGGGTTAGCGGTTTACCTATGGTCTCCATTGCAGTTCTTTTTCTCGGTTGCCGAAAAGCCAAACAAGAACGACAATGGAGACCAAAGGTAAGGTTTGGGATGGGCCCAGAGACTCCAAAACCCCTTAATTAAGGAATATACCTTAAATCATAATAAGGATCCTACTATAATACCTTCATTAAGGGGTCTTGGAAGGTGTGGGGGTTTAGGGCATGGTCCATGGTGTGGTTTTTGTATTACGATCGGCGCCAAGCTTCTCCAGAGATGCCACCAGGAGTCCTCTTGATACCTTGCTGCGGAATTGAGAGCAACAACTACCTGGACCCCCAAAGTATGTAGAATAACAGCCTTTTACAGGTATTGGGCCATTATTTTACTTACTTTTGGGGGTTTAGGTAATGAAAACCTGCAGCAGCGTGGCGAGAGAGTGGCCGGTAGACTCTTCATTGCTTGGGGATTACGTGACCTCGTCTGACCGTTTAGGGTTTAGGGTTTATAGGGTTTAGGGTTTAGGGCTGTGCAGGCTTCCTAGCCGTTTCCCTTGAATAAGCATGCTCCTCACCTTACTTACCAAGTCTGCTGAGCATTCGAATTGACGTTTAGACTCACACTTAGACCCGGCGACCATAAACCTCGACGAATACCCCGGGAAGCTCTACATGGGAGTTTTCGAAAATGGGGGACCCTGGTATAGTACCCTAAATAGTAGGATCTTCTTGTAAGGACCCCAAAATAAGGTACCCCTACTTTTCGGAAACTCCCACATCGTGACAGTCCAGAAAACCCTAACCCCTCAACCGAAAAGGCCCGAAGATCAACCCAAACATCATGCAGCTTCTGAGCCCCTGAAGATGCCGCAGGGAAGCCCGAGGGCCCATTATACCATAGCTGTAATAAGGAGCACCCAATATAGGGTTTAGGGTTTACAGGGAACTCCAGAAAGTTGGAATATGGTTTCGTGGTAGGATACCCTATAACTTACCATAGAAGGGTTTGGATAATCATATTCCAACTTTCTGGCTTGTACTTCTTGAGGCCCCTGTATTCATCTTCTAAGCCCAAGCCCTGGCTTTTGTCGGCTCTGGTGGGCTCCCAAGGACCCAGCAAATTAGGAACTGAAAGGTTTAGGAATGTTTAGGATAACAGTATTGCCGGTTTCTGTCGCAAGAGTATGTATATCACATCTGAGTATAAGATACTCGGATTTACGGTTTCTGCAGAAGGAGTCAGGGTCTTTGCTGTGTCAGGTGTATGCATCTCACCTTCTGAGAGTGTGAAAGAGTGGTTACGAACTCAGGCTTCTTTCGTCCAACCTGATTGGGAAGCTGTCTTCGAGATTGGTCCTTCAAGCACTCGAGCACAGTAGACGAAACTCATGTCTCATCTTACCCTAGGGATCAAAATAGCCCAAAAGCCTTATATAGTTTGGTCTTTGGGCCCAAAAGCCTTAATATATGAACCCTTAGATCCCTACGGTTAGGTTTGTAAGATGTTGCACAGGTTGCCACAGCCTCACCAACGCCTCTGTGCTTGTGCAAATCCTGCGCGCTGCTGCGAGCACTGAAGGAAAATTTGCTATCTATGCCTGAGCTGGTCCTGTACAGAAGTACTGTCACCATCACACTCAGCATGGCCCCAAGTCACGACGGATCCGTCTTCCACCGAATGGCAGCAAATTCTTCAGCCGAGACTGCACAGTGCTGCTGTCGGCACCGAAACCAGCATCACCCCAAGTCACCACAGATCCATCACCTAGAATGGCAGCAAAAGCGCGCTCAGAGGCTTGGATTTGCTGCACATTCTTCAGCTGAGACAGCTGAGACTGCACAGCGCTGCTGTCGCCACCGAACTCAGCAACACCCCAGGTGACGATGGATCCATCGTCAAGAATGGCAGCGAAAGCGCCCCAAGAGGCTTGGATCTGCAGCACATTCTTGAGCCGAGTCTGCACAGCGCTGCTGTCGCCACCGAACTCAGCATCACCCCAGGTGACGATGGATCCATCGTGAAGAATGGCAGCAAAAGCAGAACCAGAGGCTTGGATCTGCTACACATTCTTCAGCTGAGTCTGCACAGTGCTGCTGTCGGCACCGCACTCAGCATCACCCCAGGTCACAACGGATCCATCGTCAAGAATGGCAGCAAAAGCGCCCTCAGAGGCTTGGATCTGCTGCACATTCTTCAGCTGAGACAGCTGAGACTGCACAGCGCTGCTGTCGCCACCGCACCCACCATCACCCCAGGTGACGATGGATCCATCGTCAAGAATGACAGCGAAAACGCCCCAAGAGGCTTGGATCTGCTGCACATTCGTGAGTTGAGTCTGCACAGCGCTGCTGTCGCCACCGAACTCAGCATTTCCCCAGTCACAACGGATCCATCGTCAAGAATGGCAGCAAAAGCAGAACCAAAGGCTTGGATCTGCTGCACATTCTTCAGCTGACTCTGCACAGTGCTGCTGTCGGCACCGCACTCAGCATCACCCCAGGTGACGATGGATCCATCGTCAAGAATGTCAGCAAAAGCAGAACCAGAGGCTTGGATCTGCTGCACATTCTTCAGTTGAGTCTGCACAGTGCTGCTGTCGGCAGCGCACCCAGCATCACCCCAGGTCACAACGGATCCATCGTCAAGAATGGCAGCAGAATCACCTGCAGATTGGATCTGCTGTACATTCTTCAGCTGACGCTGTGCAGCACTGCTGTCACCTCCCCAGGCAGCACTACCCCAGGTCACTACGGATCCATCGCCAAGAATGGCAGCAAACGCGTGTGCAGATGCTTGGATCTGCTGCACATCCTTCAGCTGAGCCTGCACATCACTGCTGTCACCCCCAGAGTCAGCATGTCCCCAGGTCACAACCGATCCATCGCCGAGAATGGCGGCAAACGCTCTAGCAGAGGCTTGAATTTCAACGGTAATGCGCAACAAGGTCAAGGAGTCACCATTCTGCACCCTGGCTTTCTTCATCGGCAAATTTCCTTCCACGAAGCATCCAGATGAGTCCAGGAGCCGCCCTGGCCCGACCCCGAGTGCAACCTGTGCCCGTCGTTTGAATGTTCCCACCGTCTCATCCAAGGCTGCTTGCACAGTGGCTTTCCTGCCCACTGATCAACCCAACTTCCACCTGAATCGACATGTCGCGAACCCGGCAATAATATCCTATCCCACACCGTTGTACCATCCAGGTTCATGGACTGAAAAAAGGATTCAATCTATAAAAGTTCTGTTGAGCATTGCTGGGCACTTCGACCCATCTTTGATGCGTGCTTCTACTAGTGTCCCACGTAAAGAAAGCTTTGATTGAAACATGGCGCGAACGCAAGTCCATGAAGAGCTTTGCGGTCTCAGGCTAGGGAGTCTAAAGTATAGCTTATAGGTGTGTGATACTGTCAGATTCAGCAGGCTGCAAATACTTCTGACAAGCTTCTGCAAACCCATGCCGTAAGCCTTAACGCTGAAGTTCGAAAGCCTCCACAGCTCATGAGGCCAATGAACCACAAGGGTCCATGTTCCTACAAGGGGTTCTTCTGATGGCTTGCCAAGCTCTACCGGGTTTACTATATAGTGTAGTTCTGAATCTGACTAAAGGGTGTATAGGCTTTAGGGCTAACCTGGCCCGGTGTATGAGCTTCGGGTGCTGAATATTGGTTCTGTAGTACAAGGTTTGGATGGGCTTGTACTCCCGACACTTGCCGGGAAGCCAATCAAGGATGTATTAGTCGTGATTCAGCCCTCTATACTGCGAGAGGTTCGTCCTGATTCTGGCTGGTCAGCTGTACGGAAACCTACCCTAAGGGTCCAAGTACGTGATTATCATATACTCCCCAAATTGGCAACCTACATAACTACTATCCTACTATTTGCTTAAGAAGCCCCCCAAAAAATAAAAATAATAATCCCTATATTACCCCCATAAGGAGTAGATTTTTTATTTTTTGGGTGTTCTTAAGCAAATAGTAGTATCCTAAACCCGATTACCTGATTGTCGGGTCCTTTGGACCCTTAGGGCTACAGCAAAATGGAGCAAGGTGAGCTACGACCGGGTTGCGAAGCTAAACCCTAAACCCTGATCCCTAAACCCTAGACCCGAAACCCTATAAACCATGTAAACCCTAAACCCTAAATCCTATAAACCCTAAAGCCCTAAACCAGGTTTCGGGCAAGATTCGCCACTTGTGAGCACCCAAGCGCAGGTCTGGCTTAATGCTCACGTGCCCTTGGAACCATACTAGACATAAGATGTTTTAATAGCCCCGTTGGAGTTATAGATACATATATATATATATATATATAGTTTCAGGATACCAAAACTCAGAGGACCTAAGATTCACTGAAGAGTCGCCGAACCTAGGATGTAAAGGAATCTACCATCCCCGGACGAGTAAAAAGGCAGACATAAAACGGTGTCAGCCGAGGCACATGTGATGGCAGCCTGCGCAGGGCTTGTGTGTCTGTCGATGAAATTCTTGTGGCAGTGAGGGGGGCGGTGTTGGAGTTTGATGGGTCATGTGTTGGTTTTGTGTAGTAAATCTGTCTGTCACCGTTGGTTGTGCCATTACTTCTTCCTGTTCTACTGGCGCCACGATTCTGGTGATAACGGTTTTCGTGTTAGATTGTTGATGGTCTTGCTGACTTGATGATGAACATGAAGAAAAGATGGTGAAGGTGATAGCGATGAAAGCCGAGCATGATGCTCTGATGATCAAGCGATGGCTTGTGGTGATGGCGACCTCGGCAGTCATGGGGAGGTTGATAGATGTTAGCTGTATATGGGAGTTTCCGAATATCAGGGGTACCTTATTTTGGGGGCCTATTATAAGGATCCTACTAAGTAGGGTACTACATTAGGGTCCCCTATTTGTCACAGATGGCAGCAGTAGATGACCAGAGCTTTCGTGGCAGTTCCTACCACTACCTTTACTCAATCACTGCCGATGTCGTCTAAACTCCAAGACAGGACCATTTAGGGATACACCTGTCTGGCTGTCATCGAAAACTTGAAGTGAACCTTAAAATAGTAAGGGCCCTCTAATTTCCTGGTAGTTTGAATTCCTGCCTGGTATAAGAACCTTAAGCGCTTTGGGGGTTCATTTTGCTTTCAATGCATCAGATGCGAACCACCCTCCAAAAAACAGCCTGATCAAGCTAAACCCTGATAAAAGGCTCTCGGGCCTTTACGCCACATTGGGTCTTCAGAACATGAGTGTGCACTGTAGCAACTGTTTCAAGGGTTTAGGGTTTAGGTTGTAGGGTTGGTCTCTGGCTGCAACAGGTAACTATACAAAAAGGGCTTCAGTTTCTGGCTGTGGAGTCTACAGGCAGAGTCTCTATGAACAGACTCTATGCCGCAAGTCGGGTTTTGGTGTTGCGGTGGTTCCTCCTGTGGGTGTTGCCGTGTCGAGTTTTCGGGCTCAAAGGCCAGGGGTGGAGGGATTTGGGGTTGCAGGTCGGAGTTCTTCTTGATACCCTAAACCCTAAACCCTGAATCCTACATCCTAAACCCTAAACCCTTCGGTCTTTAAGGCGTGTTGCGCATCTTCTTCTTTTGGAAGTTGTACGTCGTCCGGTGGTTTGAGATCCTCGGCTTCTTGGAGAGATGGGGGGCCGGTGCAGGCTGAATTTAGGGTTTAAGGTTTAGGGAATTCAAAGCCCAGGGGCTGAGGATTTAGATTGAGAGAGTACTACTGTGGAGGGTCTTGATGGATTTAGGATGAGTTGAGGCTTAGTGTTTCGGAATTGGGATTAAGAGTTCTGAGAAGGTTCAGCAGACTTTTCAGCGCTTAGAGTTTAAGGTTTCGGTTCAGCCAACAGTGTGAGAAAGTGTGAAAAAGCACCAAGAGCCAAAGCACCGAGAAGCCGTCTTCTTGCGACCCCCCAATTTGCTGCAATCTGGTTGTCTCATTCGTCCAACCCTGTGAGGTCTGTTTGGTTCGCACACCATACTCTGCTGGCACATGGACCCCAAAACCCAAAAACCTCAGGGTGAAGGACACGAAGTTGTTTCAGGAGCTCCCAGGTGGGAAACCACTAATCTGTGCTTGTGCTTCCAGGGAGTCTTCAAACCATTCTATAGTGACAAGAAAGAAAACACTATCAACAGAAAACAAGCAACGGAAACTACATCCATATGTTGTCGGAAGCTCCAAGACAAGCTCCTAACTCCTAACACAACATTGCAAACCCTGAACCCCGAAACCCTCAACCCTAAGCCACCAGCCCTAAATACATACCGGCAACCCGAAGTCAACTACGAAACTCCCCGCCAAACCGCTGTGCAGTCCCTTCTTCCCAAGGATCGACCCATTGCAGCAGGACTTGCACCAGGTTTGAAGCCTGCAGTTGACTTCCGATCGATCCAAGCCGGCTTTGGGTTTTGGGGCTTAGGGCTTTGGTGCTTGCTGTTCGGGTTGAGGTTAGGGCGGCTAAGGCTTGGAACTGAGATGATTTGAGAGAGTGTTGAAAAGCAATGTGCTTCATGCTTTTATTGTGATAGGCCAGGCCACGCATTAGCGTAAGTACCCTGGACTGTGGGAGCTGTTCAACGATGCCTGGGCCACGCAATTACTAAGCTACTTTCGCCTAAGAATCTCACTTCTATACTCACTGAACCATAACCCTATATGGGAGTAAATAGGGGGCCCTAAAGAATAACGCAAAAACGAAGGGTCCTTATTTTGAGGACCCCACAATGAGGGTACCCCCAAATTTTCGGAAACTCCCATATCAGCCTATATATATATATATATATATATATCCCAATCCTGAAGCCACCGCAGCTCTGTTTCCGAAGGCGATATGGAGTTTGCGTCTAACGACCCGGGAGTCCCCCCCTTGCTTGGTTCAGCAAAGAGAATCTCACCCAAAGGGTTCATGTACCCAAATAATTAGTGTATACTTCGGCCCCAAGTACCTATGTATATAGGGACTACTTTAAGGCCAAGGTAGATACTATTTGGGCACATGGCCCTTTCGGGTCACGGTATGCCGAGAGTTACAAATTACGTTACAAAACGGGCGGAGACCCATATGTTTCAGGTCATGAGGCCAAGCGCCTCTGCATCGGCCGCAGCGCATTCAGGGCCTCTTGCGAGGGTGCCGGTCCTGTGTCCTCAGCAGGGTTTAAGGGGTTTAGGGGGTTTAGGGTTTAAGGGTTTAGGGGTTCAGGGATTTAGGGGTTGAGGCTGAGGGGTTTAGGACTAATTAATGGTTTAGGGTTGGAACGAGCGCTACTGAACTTCGCTTGCTTTACAACCTTTGCCCCAAAACCCAGAAGCCCCAAACCCTAAACCCTTCTTCTCTTTGTCCTTCTCCGCTCCTAGTTTTAAGGCTTCTTGGTCTTAGGTTTCGGGCTTCAGCTGCAAAGGTTCAGGGGCTCCTTTCAACAGTGGGTTTGCAGGTTAGAAGGTTCAGGGCTGCTCGAATTTTTTAGGATTTGAAGGTTTAAGGGTGCAGGCTTTAGGTACATGAGGGTAGAGGGTTTGGGGCTGATCCTAACATCGTTCTTGGGGGTGTAGGGATTCAAGGCTTTGGGGTGAAGGCTTTAGGAAGTTGAGGCTATAAGGTTAAGGGGAGCTGAGCAGAGTATGGACCTCATCGAAGCGGTTGCTCATCCAGGCCGGAAGCCGTTAGCCGTAACGACGCATATTGATCGGTCCTAAGCAGCACAGTGTCACAGTGTCACATTGACTGCATCCCTAAACCCTAAACCCGAAAGCATGGGAGATTCGGGTTTTCATCAGCACAGCACAGCCTTCAGGGACCTTGATGTACAGAGAGCCATCCACAGCTCAACCCACCCACCCACCCCCACCCCCGGCCCTCCCCCCTTCATCCCAACTCCTGACCTTGAAAAGCTGAGAAAGCCTTGCCCCAAACAAAAACCCCAAACCCTAAATGATGAGCCCTGAGCCCTAAACCCGACGATCCATCACCACAAAAAGCACTAAATCCATATTAACCCACCGCCCCCCCCTCCTTCAAAACAAACCCCCCCGTAGATCGCTCCAACATCCCTTATAGAGCCCTTAACGAGCCCCGAACCGAGGATCATCGCAGCGATCGCAACAAAAACGAAAGCTAAATCCATAAACAAAAACAAACAAGCAAAAACAACTAAGCCCCTACAAGCCGCCCCAAAAGAACCCCTCCCCCTTTGATTTGAAGAAAACACGGGTTGCCTGGGAGAGGGAGTCATGCAGTTTCCGGCAGCCGAGATCACCAAGCCTTGGCGTAAAGCTTACGGCCTATATAGGGTTTAGGGTTTAGGGTTTAGGGAGGGTTTGAAGTTGAAGTGTTTCGGGGTTCAGGACTCGGGGTTTGGGGTTGAGGTGTCAGGGTTCAGGTCAGGATCCAAGAGCCCATGAGCTTTTCACAAGGTCGGTTTTATCAACCTGGGGGTAAAACAAAAGTGCTGAATCAGGGTTTAGGTTGCAACATAGTGGCCTGAACAACTAGAGTAGGGTTCTGGGGTAGGTGATCGCATGCAAGTATAAGGCACCATACAGGGATGATAGCGGGGGCTGTCGAAGTTGCCCAGAGCCCTTGACAACTAGAAACGGGCTTCTGGGATCTCCTGGGCATAGTACAGTATACGGGATTACACATGTTTAAGTATATAGATATAGCAAGGCACCCTAGAAGCTGCTACGAGAAATTATCTAAACGATACCGACCTTAGAACCATAATCAAATAGTATTCTCTTGAGTCTTATAATATGAACAAAGAATGACTCCTAAGGAAACTATACTAAAGCTCTATACTAGGGCGCTGGGTTCAAGATGTGTGGCTTCGAGGTTTTGTTTTAGGCTTCCGAGCTGGGAGCTTTGGAAGTAGACCTTCGGTGTTCAGGGATTGTGGGTTTCGGGCCGGGCTCCCTGGGTTCAGAGGCTGAGGGTTTGACGGAGTTAGGGCGTTTCAGGTTTGGGGGTTCAGGGGTTGAGGGTTTGGTTTATATGGGTTCAGGGTTTGGGGGGTTCAGAGGTTGAGGGTTTAGGGGTTTGGCGATTAGGGGTTTAGGGTTCGGGCATCCAGCTCAGGGCTTAGACTTCCCAGGCTGAACCAGACGAAGAGGCTTCCAAGTTCCTGGCGGAACTGGAGGTTTAGGGTTTAGGAGTTTAGGCTTTAGGGTTTAAGAGTTTAGGCTTTAGGGTTTAGGAGTTTAGGGTTTAGGGTTTATATAGGAGTTTAGGACTTTAGGGTTTAGGGGTTAGACTTGACACTCGCCCTGCAGTAGGATTCCCAAGACTTCCACAGTACCCCAGAAACAGGTTTAGGGTTTAGGGCGAAGAACCCCCAGTTTCTCAGGAGACCTGCGACACGTTTGGATGCAGGCGAACCCTATTTGCGGCCCAAGTGCGTCTCCGTCAATCGGCTGGTGCCGTCCTCCACCCACAACCCTTACAACCCGAGGCACGGACCCGAATAATATACGGGGCCTTCAGAATCAGAATAGGGCTTTGGGGCCCATTATACTATACTTGTAACTTATAATTCTGAACTCGTAACATAGCATTGGCAAGTCTTCAGCCCCTGTATTACGTCCCAGCAGATGCCGCATAAAAGAAAGAACCTCTTCTGCACACACGTCTCTCTGACTCAGGGCTGAAAAGTGAAAGTCTGGGTCTCTGACGTAGGGGCTGAAAGATTAAGGTTGAGACCTTAAGGCTAAGCCTCGTAAATGCCATCATGGCTGTAGGTCACTAAGGCGGTGGGGTCATGGCTTGCGGGGACCATTGAAGACTGAAGACCCCGATGCAAAGACTTGGCAATGCGAAACTGTCAAGATCATGGTCTTTCTGCGGATCGAGCACTATCAATTTCTGCTCTTGATACGGCACCCTATAGTCTTGGAACCCAAGAGCGGTCCTAGTTTAGAAAACCACCCAACCACACTCTGAGCCAACAATGAACACCCACATCATATGGGGGCCATCCCGAACCTCAGTGACTTAGTGCTCACTATCTTATGTCAGGTTGCTGAGCCCAGTTTAATACCAGCGGGATCCCCGTCAATATATCGCAATACACTACTCTCAGACAGTAAACCCCGACAAATTTGAAAACCTGAGCCAAAGAGTGCTGGGATTCCCCGTACATTACTCTCAAGGATTGAGGCTCTGGGGTTTCCAACTTTTGGGCTTCTATTGTAGCTCTCAGTCCCTGAGCATCCTCCAAAAACCCCTTATAGACACCTTTGTCTACCCATAGTCTCCATAGTAGTTCCTTTTTGGGATTAACTTATAGGATTCTAAACATGAGCCCCAAAAAGGAACTACTATGGAGCCTATGGGTATCCCCAAACCCATGTCAGGAGACGTTGGGGACGTCAGGAGCTCTAGCTTCGCCCATAGCAGTACCTAGAGCCCTTTGGGATAGGGACCCCCGACCGGCTGAAGCTTCATGACTTGCCGCTTCCACTGGGAAGCTTAGCCAGTACCCATAGGCTCCATGCCATAGTCTGTGGGAGTTTCCGAACATAGGGGACCCTAATATAGTACCCAAATGGTAGGATCCTTATGATAAGGACGCCTGAATGGCGTACCTCGAGCCCCCACCCATAGATCCCATACTAGTTCCATTTTGGTGTTCATGTTTAGAATCCTATAAGGTAGTCCCAAAAAGAAACTACTATGAAGCCTATGGGTAGCCCGAAAAGGCCATCTGCCCACACAGTATATACTTTGGCCCTAAAGGACCTAGCTAGGGATCACTTTAAGGCCAAAGCAGATACTCTTTGGGTACATGGACGCTTACATCCGAAACGCTAAGGCCCGCATATGACCCTTGTACTAACTTGTTTAACCCAAACCCTCCAAGGCTTACATCCTAAACCCTCCCAAGCCCTTATAGAACCCCTGCATTATGCTGACCCTAAAAGGAACCCCAAAAGGAGCCCCAAAAGGAACCCTAAGAGGAGCCCTGAAGGGATCCCCATTTGGACACAGCGACCCTTAGGGCTTGGGGGATACTTTAAGGCATCTATAGGGGTCCCTTTGAGGGTTCCTTAGGGGATTGAGAGGGGTACTGTTATGGGGGATACTTGCCCCAACCATGATAAGACTTCCTAGTATAGAAACCCTACATTCTACCATATAGGTACTTTAGACCCTTTGGGTAAAGGTCTGGGTCAGGGATAAGGCCCTCAATGGCTGTGGGAGTTCAGCGGGGTCTAGGGTAAATAGATGTTCATAGCCAAACAACTACAACCTCGGTTTAGGGTTTAGGGTGTAGGGGTTTAGGGTTTCGGGTTTAGAGGTTTAGGGTGTAGGGGTTTAGGGTTTCGGGTTTAGGGTTTAGGGTTTAGGGGCCACATCCAACCCACAGGCCCCCCCAGAAGTTGTCTGCCGGTACCTGATTGCAGTACACCGCGAAGAAGAGAGCAACCGCTGCGCCTGAGATGCAGGGCTGCAGGGCTCCCGGAAGACCCCAAAACCCGGAACCCCAGGCGCTCAATAGAACCGGAAAGCCGAAACCTCCGTGGTTTTGAGTCTCGATGCATTCAAAGAGCCGCAATCCCAGTTTCGCTGTCCGGCGGCTGATATTAGGACGTTTTGAGGGCTTCATGCTTCATCCATCATCGAAGGGGATAACTCTATTGCTGTTCAGACTCTTCTGTGTATTACTCTATGTGAACAATGAATATCGTGATAACTACTATATTGGATAGTAGTGGTATTTCTATCTGACAGCTCTATAGTATGGCTCCTTGGGGTGGGCTTCAACATTGAAAGGTCGACACCGTCTGAGGCCGGCACGCACACGCTGTGCACCAGCAGTGGAGATGAGGCCGTGCTGCTCGGCTTTCCTGCCAATGCAGTTTAGGGTTTTGGAGTTGCTTACCTTTGGCTAGTAGCGAATGGAAGACTGGTAGTAATAGTAGTCATAATTGTACCCCATTCCTCCATTCCCTACTATTTTGGAGTTGGGGGCTGAGGGGTTCCGAGTTTAGGATAGGGCCTTTTTAGGAACACTTGTTCTTCCCACCACAGCAAGTGCTGACGACGACAACTTAGTCTGACAAAACAACATATGGATCAAGGTTCCGAAAGTGTTGTGGCTGATCGAAATCATCTCTACTCCCTCCACCATGTTAGGATCCCCTGTTTTCAGAAATTTTCGAAAACCCCATATAGAAGTGCAAGTAGACACCTCCAGTATCTGACGCTGGCTAGCTGTCCTTGCAGCATCGAGGTAGTCGTCGAACATGATGACGGGCGCCGAACCTCCAGGCAAACGCATACACACTCTTCACACATCCAGCGAGCCTAAAACCATATAGTTATAATGATAATATATATATATATATAGATAGACATAGATATCTATATATGTATATAGTATGGTTATGCTTACATAAGTATATTAGAACAAAAACCCCAAACCCTGTACCCCACAGATGGCCCTGAACCCTGAAACCTATAGGGAAACTCAAGAGGCATGGGCGGGCTATGGGGTTGAGTTCTTAAATGCGGGCTTAGGCCGTACCTTTTCCGGAAACTATCAGCTGTGATCTGGGCAGAGCGTTGTGTGGGTGGAGCTTCTGAGGTGTAGGAGTCAGTCGTGATGGGGTGTGGGGTTCAGGGGTTGGTTTCGGGATCTACCCGAAATCCTGAAAACGAACACAAAGCTTCAATGAACTTCTCAGAGTTTTAGTATTTCGGACTTCCGGCGTGAACTTGAGCCAAAGACCTCAGTCCAGCCTCAACTTCTATGAATTCCCATGTGGCAAGTTCCTGAATCCATAATTCCGACCCGAGTTGAAGCCGCCCCAACCCTAAGGGTCCATGTACCCAAATAGTATATAGTTGGGCCCCAATGTACCTATATAGGGAGTACTGTAAGGCCAAGGTGTATACTATTTGGGTACATGGACCCTTAGGGCAATACCATTAACAGAACTCCAGCCACGCAGTAGCCCGAGAATATCCGTAAAGAGAAACCCTTCAGTAAACCTCTTAAATCTGAATGTGCCCTAAACCCTCAACCCTACACCCTGAACCCTAAACCCTACACCCGAAACCCTAACCCCCTAAACCCTACACCCTAAACCCTACACCCTACCTAAACCCATAAACCCTACACCCTAAACCCTTGAAGGAGTTGCAGAGATTCCTGAGCACCTGGAGATGCCGTGGCAGACGCGCAGTTCAAGGGCTTTGAGTCGCAAGTCAGCCGATGGATGAAGGCGGCCTGTGGCCATTTTCTTCGTTGGGTTTTTGGGGGCTTGGGTTTTTAGGGTTTACGGTTTTTAGGGTCTTTAGGGTTTACGATTTTAGGGTCTTTAGGGTTTACGTTTTTTAGGGATTTTAAGGTCTTTTTTGTGAATCTAGGATTCAGGTCTCGCCCCGAATGTCCGCAGCACCTCCTTGGTAGGTTCTAGTTTGGATTCAGCATCCTATGTTCACTAGCAGCGGAAGTATCCACCCCTCCCTAAACCCTAAGCCCCTAAACCGTACAACCCTAAACTGAAAGGCCGTCTTTCAAGCCCCCATAAAAGCCATATAGAAAAAAGGAATATAGAATCCCAAGGCCCCTTCTGGAAACTTTATATATAACCTTATAGATTCCTGATAGAAGCCCTACAAGACCACAAACCCATCATCCCGCCTTCAAGCCAAGCTCATGGCGGCCGTGCTTCGCATAGCGGCGCATCTCCTGCGCAAAACGAAGCTGGGAGTTGAGTCGTGCAGGGTGCGGGCGTCATAGGCTTAGGGCTTCAGGGTCTGGAGGTCGTGGGATTTAGGGCTAGCGTTTACGCTCTAAGATGAAAGGGTCGTCGGGTAATTAAATGGGTTCGGTCTAGGACTTGCGAGCGCATGGACGCGGGCAAAGTTTTGCGCCTTACGAAGTAGCGTGTGTTTGCTACGAAAATCTTGTATCGTGACTGCCTCGGGGGGAATCGAATTTACCCGGACCCTAAGAAACTTACGTGTGTAGGGCTCCTTGTGATGGCTACCTGAGGAAAGTCCTTTGCAAGATAGGCCTTGGGGTGGTTCGGGGAGGGGAGGCGAAAGTCCTTGGACCAAGGGCACGGTCTTAGTGTGCAAGTTGGCTGATGGATCGGGTACCGTAAGTGCAGGTTTTTGCCTGCAGGGTCGGCTGGGATTCTGCAGCAAAGAATAAGGAGGATATGAAGCTCGATACTTATATATGTGGTTTCTCACAATGCTATGGGATTAAAGCTTGAAAGCGTCATGGAACCTTTGTGACAGGGCTACTTGACGGGTGACAGTTCCGATTGCTTAGAACTAATGATTAATGATGATGTCTTAATGGGGCCGGTCTTGGACTCACCCTAAAACCTGAAGCCCTGCAGCCCTAAACCAGAAAAGCAAGATCCGGATTTGCCCGAACGCCCAACTCCCTCAATTTACCAAGACAAAAGCCTTAGGTAGGAACTAACCTAACCCCAAACGCTAAGCCCCAAACCCCAACCAAAAAAGGCCACACTCAGACCCTTATTCCAAGCAGAAAGTTGGAACGTAAAGATCTTGATTACATGAAGAATCCGAGCACTTATCATCCTCAACCCATGTTCCAACTTTCTGGGATTCGCAGCAAGTGGGTCCCTACATACTGCTATTATGGAGTTCCACAATAGGGATGGTCTTCTGGGGCATAACTCCATACTTGTGAAGCCCCCAAACCCTACCTGTCGCCGAAAGACCTACCTTCTTAGGATTCCATGTTATAAGGGTTTCTACATATGGGAGTTTCCGAAAACTAGGGGTACCTTATTTTGGGCTCCTTATAATAAGGATCCTACTATTTAGGGTATTATATACGGGTCCCCTATTTTCGGAAACTCCTATATATAGTCCCTTAACAAGGTCGGTCGTTTGGGGCCAAAGGTAAGCCCTAAACCCATAATCGCATATTCCCTAAAACCTAGACCTAAACCCATATTGGTATAGTACCTAAACCCTAAACCCATAATGGGCATAGTCCCTCTATAAACCCTAAACCCATAATGATTTAGTCCCTAAACCCTAGACCCATAATGGTATAGCCCCTAAGCCCTAAGCACCCTCCACGATGGCCCTATTTATGGACAATCTCAGCTCCTGCGCTGCTGGGTTGCAGTCCCCCTGGCCATCGTCTCCTCGGCGTATAGGGGGGTGTAGGGTCCCAAGGTTCCTTTGAGGGTGCCTGTGAAGGCTGTTCAGGTTCCTCGGGGTTTAGGATTTTAGGGTTTCGCGCTGTTAGGGTTTATGTCTTTAGTGTTTTCTTTTATCTTTGTTGAAGGGCTCGTTGAGGGTGGGTTTCGGGCGGTTCCCTTAAGGTGTTCTTAGAGTGGGGCTCAGGGCTGTGTGCTTAGGCTTAGGGGCAAAGCTATTCCTTTCATGCCTTGCTCTCTGGGTCCAAGAGCAAAACATATAAACACCAGCTGCCTTCAACACTAACCTACACTACGCACTGCTATCCTAAACCCGATTGTTTAGTTACTTAAGTATTCGTTCCTTCGAGCGGACCCTCAAACTTATGAGCCCTCATGGAGCCCAACATATCTCCAGAACTCTTATGTATATACATACTTATATATAACAATATTATATATATATATATATACACACTATGTACACATACACATGCACATGTATAGAGAACCGACAAAAGCACCCCTAATTATTCGGTCCTTTGGACCCTATGGGGTCTTCCCTCGCTGATATTCGGGCCAGGTGCCGATGAAGACCACGCAAGCCTCATCTGACTGGGCAGAGGCTTCCTCCAGGTAAAACTCCTGCACAAGTAAAATATATATATATATATATATATATATAATATATATATATATATATATATATATAAGGGCCTTGACAATGCAGGCCTGGGGTTCCTTTGAAGGGGGTCTATAAGGGTTGCTATAAGGGATCTAGAAGGTGGTATGGGATGTGAAAATTAGAATAAGGGTTCCTTTAAAGGGTTCCTGTTGAAGGGGTCCTGCACAACAACCCCAAACACCAAAGTATGGGGTTCAGCGTTTCGGGTTTGGGGGCTTCAGGTTCAGGGCCAACTAAAGACATTCGGATGCCTGAGCCCCAAACTTCCTAACCACCTTAGGCCTCAGAACCCCAAAGCCCCAAAACCCCGAAGTCAAGTCCCTCATCCCTCCACCCGTAACCTCTGCGCCCGGTGCCCGAAACCATGACCTGCAGAGTATCTAAAGCCTCAAACGACACTGACCCCAACTACACCCTTGCCCTACACCTTGAACCCTAAACCCTACAACTTAAACCCTAAACAAGGGAATTTCCGACATCCCGACCAGCCAGAAAATTTTTGAGGCTGTCAATTTCGGGAGATGTGATGTCTAGTGGGCATAGTCTTTAGGATCTAGGCTTCACGGCTCAGTGTACAATGTCAGCTATGTAGAGTGTTGGAAAGGCTCAGTGTACAATGCCAGCTATGTAGAGTGTTGGAAAATCACTCAAGAGATCGAATGCACAATCCCAGCTGCTTCAATGTGGGGTACAGTAAAGGCTTAAACTCCAAAAGCCCTCAAGACCCGAAGGTCCGTCTGCAATCCTTTAAAACAGCTCCTAATTCGTTCCTGGACTTCAATCTGCTACCCATGGGCTCCATAGTAGTTCCTCTTTGGGATTCCCCTATAGGATTCTAAATATGAACCCCGAAAAGGAACTACTATGGAGCCTATGGGTAGTTCAGCAAAGCTCCTGGAAGTTTTCGAACTTTGTTTCGCCTCAGATTGGGTGGTAAAGGAGTTTGGGTCGAAGATCATAGGATCTTACAGGGTCCCTAGGGTTTGGGGTTTTTTAGATTCTACAGTTCTACTTTAGAAGTGCCTTCGTAGGGCCCTTCTGATGGATCTACACGGCAATTTGGCAGGAATTTACCGGGAGCTTCTGGCTGCAGGGCCGTGAGCTCGGGGCTTTGAGTAAAAAGCAGGAAAAACTCACAAAAGGTAGCCTAAACACAACCCTCAACCCTAGGCCTTACGCCCTAAACCCTAAACCCTAAACCTTAAACCCTAAACCCTGGGTTTCTGAAAGGCTCTGCTTCCTGGCAGATCCTTGGAAAGCCCTGGGAGTTTCCAAAGAGGTACTTGTCTAACATTGAGTGTGGAGTTTCAGGGTATGTCTGCAGGATCGACCCAACACCGAACCCCAAAATCCCTGATAATTAAAAGGCCCCTTAGAGGGACCCTAATCTGCGAACGTCGCTAAGAGTCCGACCTCATGTCCCGTTGGTGCAGAGTGTACATGCGGAACCACTCCAGAACCAAACTGAAATATATAGCGGTCTGCAAGGGCTCTACGAGGGGTCTGTACCGATTCCACAGGGTTCTTTAGAATTTGCAGCAAATCGACGGGCCGGTACTTTTAACCCCGAGAAGGCAACCTCTTCAAGAAACCCAAACCTGACTTGCGGTCCAGGCACCCATTGAGTGGGTGTTGGTGAAGTCACTAAGATGCCCATACTTGCTCCCTGGCGTCGGCGAGCGGATGGATTCTGGGCTCCTAAACCCTTAACCCTCGTTTGGGGATTCAGGGTTCGGTGGACGACCAGAATTCAGGGTTCAGTGTTTAGGGGTAGGGGGCTGGTGATAGTAGTATATTTCGAGGTTACCCATGTTATATATAAAGTGGCCCTAAAGTACCTGTACAAGGACTACCTTAAGGACAAAGTATGTACTATATGGATACGTGGACCCTTAGGGTGATGAGTAGTGAGAGCTAGATGAAACACCAACCTGAAAACATGCAGATTTGAGTCTTCGAATCTGCACTCCTTTTCACAGAAGCCCATAACCCATAATCCAGGCCCTACTTCTGCCTTCAATTAAAACACGGCGAAAACCACACAAAAAGAAGGTGAACAAATAAAACTGCCAAATATGCTAAACTCCGAGTCTATCTCGCTGCCCGTCAGGGGTACCCTTAAAGGAACCCTGTAAGGGCCCTTTCAAGGAGACCTTGAACTCCAAAGGCACAAAGGGCAGCGAACGACTGAGAGGCCTCTAGCGAAGGTGGGATGAAGCTGGGTGGGGTACATTTAGGGTTTAGGGTTTAGGGTTTAGGGTTTACATACTGTTGGTGATATAAATCCTGCATTACCCATACCTAAACCACCAAAAGTAGGTAACATTAGAATAATGGCCCAATGCCTAGAAAAGGCTATTATTCTACATACTTTTGGGGGGATCAGGGGACTTAGTAAGTAAGGCTATAGGTCCCCTAATTGGGGCTATAAGTAATTATAAGTATAGTTACCTTCTTTATAACCCTAGTTACTAAGTCCCATGATCCTTTAAGTGCATTACCCATAATAAGGAAAATACCATAATTCCCATAGTTTAGGCTCCTTGAGATAATGCAGGATTTATATCATCAACCGTACCTTCATCCCCCCCTTTTCAGGTCCCCTTAAAGGAACCCAGGACCCTTGAGCCGAACCCTGAAGAATAACACTAAACCCCCTAAACCCCAAACCCGAAACCAAGGCGGCCCAAACCTTCCAAAACCCCTTAATTAAGGAATCTACATGATTTAAGGTATATTCCTTAATTAAAGGATTTTGGAGGGTCTGGGCCCCAAACCCGAAACCAAGGCGGCCCCACCGTCGACGTTGAGCCCGAACGGCTGGCCAGCGCCGTGATTCAGCAGCTTTTCAATGCCTCGACGGAAATGAACAATGACCGTACACCTGCGACCCTTTACGGCTCCTTTAAAGGAACTACGAGGTTCGATAATGGGGTTCCTTTAAGGTACTATAAGGGTACCCTGATAGGGTTCCTTTAAGGGTTGAGGTTTTAAGGCTAATTATAGAGTTAGAGGCCTAACTTAGGGTTCTAGAAGTGTTCCTGGAAAGCTTCCGAACTGCTTGTCCCGAGACCCCCAACCCTGCATCCTTATAGATCTCTGAACAGAATTCGTATGGAGCCCTTTAAAGGAACCCTTGCAGCAACCACTATACTACAGCAGCCATTATAGATCTCTTGGGGTTCAGGCTCCAACGGTGTAGAGAGCCGCACTGACGACATGGGAACGAGGGAATGTTGGGTTGCGGTTTGGGGGCTAGGCCGGAGTTTAGGGGCCTGCAGGCGCAGGCTTCTGGTGTATACGGGGCAAGGCTTTCAGAGTGATCAGGGTTTAGGGCTAGGACGTAAGAGTTTCCAAACACTACCAAAGGCCTTGTGGACTACTATTGCCAAGAAGAAGCCTCCCTGCTGGTAGTCGTAAGACACGAGCAGCTCCGGCACGTCTAACCTCGCCAAGGGGGCTGCTACTTTGAAGGAGGTTTGCAACTCAACAGTCTGAGTGCGAGTGTTTGAAAGCACCAGGCCATCTGTAGTGTACGAGATCTCCCTAAACCCTAAACCCTAAACTAAACCCTAAACCCTAAACCCTAAACTAAACCCTAAACCCTAAACCCTAAACCCTAAACCCTGACTCACAAGGAAGATCAAGAACTCTGGAGACATCTGCGCTTCGGCTTCCCGGTTACATAAACTAACAAAGCCCGGCAGCCAAGCCGCAGCCCCAGCCCCTAAACCCCCGACTCGAAACCCATAAGCCTGGTCGAAGGACCATGCAATCCCTGGAAAGCATGGAAAAACCGTCATGGGTCTCAGCTCCCCTTATAGAGCAACCTTAAACCCTATATGCATGAAGCCGAAATCCTCAAGGAATCACCCTAAACCCCTAAACTCCTAAACCCCTAAACTCCTGAACCCCTAAACCCCTTAACCCCTAACACCCTAAACCCCTAAACCCTGAACCCCGAAACCCTAAACCCCTAAACCGAATCTCTTTAGACTCCCTTAACAGGAACCCTGTCTCTGCTTGCCGGGTAAGTGTCGGGATCTCGGCGTTCAAGTAATCCCAGCTCACTGGGTCGGTCCCCTCCTTTCCCTGGGGCTCTTCTGAGGGAACTTAGAGGCTTTCTGGGGTAAAGGGGGGGGGGTCGATAAAGTTTTTCGGGTGTATAGGAGGGGTGTAGATGGGTTTTGTAATTTGGGGATTTAGGGTGGGAGTTTATGGTTCAGGTCTGTCCCTCGAGTCTTTGAAGCTTACAGGGGTTCAAAGGCCTTGTAAGGCTTCAGCGGTTTATGGAGGCTTATGGGGTTTAGGCTCTTGCCTGGCGCTTGTAAGGAGCTTACGGGGGGTCTGGTGCTGAGAGCCTCTCCTCCCCCATTGACACAGCTCCTCCGTGACATGAGAAACATGCTTTCTCTCCTCCGGCAAGAAATTCTTCCAAACCCCAAACCCGGGTGCCCTGATGCCCTCGCCCGTGGCCTGCGACGGCGCGGCCAGTGCTGCGGCCATCGGGGACCCGTCATCCACCTGCCCAGGCTCTCGCTGCTTTCCTTTCTTGCAGCGGGGTCGGGTGGCCCGGGGGGTTGGGTTGGTTTCAGGGGGGCTTGTAGTGCATGCAGAGTGGGATTTGGAAGGGGTGTCGGGATTGGAGGTTTGCGGGCTTTGGGATTTAGGGTTGGCCACAGCTTTCGGCGTTGTAGAGAATTCGTGGAGTAAAGGCACATGAAACCCACCCAGGTGGGGGCTTTGGCCCAGTTAATAAGTTCAGCGGGCCTCCAGAATATGAATGACTGAGATGCCACGCTTTCACGTGGTAGCGGGGATTAAGGAACCAATACCCTTGAGCCCCAAACACCTAAAGCTTGGCTCCCAGCCAAATTCCTACTCAAAAATCTGCAAAGCTTTGCACAAAAGTCCCAACTTACTAAACTAAACCCCCCCTAGAACTCTGATTTAGGCTTAGGGGTTTCGGCGCACCAAACCCTAAACCCTAAACTTTGGCACACCAAACCCTAAACCCTAAACCCCTACACCCTATAGGCCCTAAACCCTGAATCAGAGCCCAAAACCCCTAAACCCTAACCCCCAAGCCCCAAAACCCCATACTATACTCCCTGAACCCTTTGACGGCTCACACTGAGAGAGCCTTCAAAAAGTCGAAGCGGTTTGGGCGTACCAAACCCTAAACTCTAAATCCTAACACCCCTGATACCCTAAACCCTATACACCCTGAACCTTCAATGGCTCACACTGAGAGAGCCTTCAAAAAGTCGAAGCTCTCCGGGCGTGCGGAGAACAAGGCAGGCCGCAGCACTCGAAGCGACTCGTTGGCGCCTGCGGTGATCGATCCCAGAAAAGATCCCATAAGGGTTCCTTTAAGGGTTCCCTTTAGGGGTTCCTTTAAAGGGGGTCCTTTAAAGGGGGTCCTTTAAGGGGCTCCTAGAAAGGGTTCCTTTAAAAGCTTCCCTTTACGAGTTCCTTTGAAGGTTCCTTTAAGGGGGTCCTTTGAGGGTTCCTTTAAGGGGTTCCTTTAAGGCTTCCTTTGAAGGGGTCCTTTGAGGGTTCCTTCCAGGGGTTCCTAGAAAAGGATCCGTTTCTGGTTCCCTTTCAGGGTTCCCAGTTCCTGTAGTGCTCCTTTAAGGGGTACTCTAGGGTCCCCACAAGGGTTCCTTTACAGAAGGGGTACTATGATATAAGGTTTTAAAACAACTCTTGACATGAGACTGTAGTAGGGACCCTTATAGATGCCTTAAAGTATCCCCCATAACAGTACCTAGGACCCTAAACCCTAACAAGAGCTGTGGTTGTGGTTTCCGGTAGATCCAGTCTGCAATGCCACGGGTCTCCCCAAGAAACCTCTGGGGTCCTGGTGGTCCAAATCTGCAACTGAGAGACCTGCATGTGGTCTGAAAGTCTGTATGGGACAGCGCACAATTGCCAAAAATACACCCCTCGAAGAGTCATCTGAGAACAGTGATATAGGGGCCTTGATGATTAGAATAGGGTTTGGGGGTATATTATACTATAATTATAGTAGGGGACCCCCCAAGAGTATTGGCAATTATCAAAGCCCCTATAGTATTGAATCCTATCGCCGCGCATCCCAAACCCTTCAATCGACCGAAGAACCCTCAATGCACCCCCCTAAACCCCAAACCCTGGCAGCCCTACATGACACTCCCCCACCCCACCCTCACCAGATAGCATCAACTAAGCGCCTCTGGAAACTTCGAGAACAAACTGGGCGTAACCTGCATGAAAGTTTCCGTCTCGGTCGGGAATTTGGTGTAGGGCTTAGGGTCTAGGGGTTTAGGGATTTGAGTTGCTGGTTCGTGGTGGTGGTTAAGGCATGGGCTTTGGACAGGGCTTAGGGTCTTCAGTAGGGCCCTTTCGGTCTCAGGGATTGTTAGGGTTTTGGGTTGAGAGTCAAGATAAATGGGTTTAGAGTTTAGGTTTTGCGGTTTAGGGTTTTGGGGAGTTAAAATCACTTCACATGCAACCTTGCCCTATTGATCCAGAGCCAACAGCCCCAGACACACTCAAGGCCGAAAAAATATAGCCGCATTAAGTCATCAGCGGTCTCCGCTGCGGGCAGCACATAAACGTTCAGGCCGGAGTGTGTAAAGGGTTGTTTAGGAAACCTTAAGCTTATTAAACCCTACACCCTAACCATGATTTTGCAGTGATACCAAAAAACCTCCCGCAACCCGTAGCCGTACTGAAGCCAAGGCGGAGCATTGCTGCAAACGACATTGAGGCTCAACAGGTCCGAAGTACCTCTATGAAGGAAACTTACCCAAACCGTAATCATAATTCGTATTATACAAAACCTTCCATTTCGTGGTATTTCGGACCCTTTGATGCAATGCCGAGATCTTAGTCGGAGAGTTGTCGGCTGATCGCTGGAGATTGCGAAATCTCCGCCGAAGTATAGGGCGTAGGGGTGAATACTATAAGGACCTGAAACATTGGAACATTACGGATATTCTACTCGAGCTTTTTCTAGGGCTGTAAGGGAATACGTACTAGTACTTATGTCGACCACTATATTACTTGTTCTTGAATCGTGCCGCATGCTGCTCAGGAGCATCCTTAATTAGAGATTGCTTAGAACCTCCTTTTCCGGGAGGATGCAGCATCTAGAAGTTAGGGTCGGGATTGCTTAATTTCAAACTTTTCCTCGGAAAACCTTGTGCTGAGGATCCCGGGTCCGTGCCTGCATAGATCACGCTTTTCCTGGATCAGCAGAATCTGGTGCAAAGCAATCTGTCTGCTAGGAAACACAGAGCCAATGAAACCCATGAAGTCTCATCTTGAAAATAAACCATTGGGGCATTTGGCTGCCCATGATTCGCGGCATCCGTCCTAGGGTTCAGGGTTCTCAGGTTGCCCACAAAGATTCCGAATGTGATTCCTCTCCCGGCAAAGCTTTGATTTATCAGGCATCAAAGGCTTTGATGCCTGATAGCGAAAATGATGATGATGATTAAGATGGTGTTGGCGATGATGATGATGACGACGACGATCATGGGGTACTGGCATAGCAGGTGGTTTAGCTGAACATGCAGTTAATTAACATGATGCAGAATGCAGACCCACATCCCGGAACCCTCATCCGCTGAAAACTCTGAACCGAAACCCAAACAAACCCTACACCCCGAAACCCGAAACACCAAAACCCAAACCCCTGAAACCTGCAACCCCCTGTGCCAAAAGAAAAGCCGAAGCAGCTCCGGAAAGCATTCGGCAAATATTAACAGGAAAGGAAAAGCAAAGAAACACATGAAACGCCACTGCAACACACAGTTTAAACACGTCACAGTGAGCCCCAAACCCTACACCGAAATGCATCATAGAATCTCATAGACGCCATCACAGCCTGCTGGCCAAGACCTCGTTGCTCAAACGTCATTCAATGTTGCTAGGCCAGGGTTGTCAAGTTTGAGGGTTGTAATTAAGGGCTTGTTAGGTTTGTGAGTGGGCTCTAGGGCAGTGAGCATTTAGGGCTAGGGTTTAGGGGTTTAAGGGTTTAGGGCCGAGGGGTTAATAGGGTTTAGGGTTTTCCATGCTACTGCAACAACAAACCAGTTGTTGGAGATGTGTTGCTGCAGTGGTCCAGTCGCAAGGCCCATTGAAATTCAATCAGCCTGCATGTATAGCGGGTCTCTCTCTCTCTCTCTCTCTCTCTCTCTCTCTCTCTCTCTCTATCTCTCTCTCTCTCTCTCTCTCTGTCTCTCTCTCTCTCTCTCTCTCTCTCTCTCTCTCTCTCTCTCTCTCTCTCTCTCTCTCTCTCTCTCTCTCTCTCTCTCTCTCTCTCTCTATACATATATATATATATATATATATATATATATATCTATCTATACGTATATATAGATATATACATACAAATATAAATATATATATATATATATATACATATATATATATACTATTTATGTAAACATATATATATATATATATATATATATTCTATTTATGTAAACATATATATATATATATATATACATACATGTAAATCTATATATATATATATATATATATATATATATATATATATACCCCTAAGCCAGCTGTTTCATTTGCTTGTTGCCGGCCCTTTTTCTCCTTGCTACAGTTGCGCGGGGGTTTAGGGCTTTGGGTTTTGGTTTAAGCTTCTAGTAGGCTGAGGGCATCACCCCCCGCTGCTGGTGAAGGTGTCATCCACATCGGAGAAGACCTGCGGAGGTCAATGCAGGCCTGAACTCTAAACCCTGCTCCTTCGGCTACAAAGCCTGATCCTTAAACTCAGCCACCCAGGCTTAGCTCAAATAAGCACCCGAATGCAACCTTTTGGAGGCCATATCCCCATTCGGAAGTCGGTTTTGTTTGATAGCTTTTGTTTACTTGCGTTCCTTCACCTAACGTTTGAATAGGGTTTGGTCTGGGAGCTTGGGGCTTAGGGCTTAGGAGCTGGGGGCTCGGGTCTATGCTAGATGTCCTTCGCATCTGTTGGAAGTTAGACACCCAGCTTGCCAGACTTAGTAGGATGCTCAACACAACGGAACGTCGTTGATCAAAACTGAAGTCAGAGTGTACTCGGTAGCCTCTCTTGAAGTCGACTGGTCAGCAAAGCTCCGAATCGTCAAATCCTATACCTCAGATCCAATGCCCTCACCGTAATTGAAGAGCCATGGGTAGATGCAACTATGTCTTTATATACACATACATACATACATACATAAATACATACATACATACATACATACATATATATATATGTGTGTGTGTGTGTGTGTATGGATCAAGCACCTGCACTGGGGCGGTTATGTGAAATGAAACAGTCTTGCACCCAGTCTCCTGACTCCGCAAGTAGTTAGGGACTATCGAGCAACCAATGCATGCTTGGGACAAAGGGCTTGGAGGTGAAGATTGCGGCGGCGGTGTTTTGCGGAGTTCCAATCATGTTAAAACTCCGGAATAGGATTTGTGATTTGGGGTCTGGAGGTCTACTGCTTAACATTGAGGAATTAGTTGCAGATTAGAGGTCAGGCTCTGCGAGCTAGTATCATTGTTAGAGCTCGCTCCCAATTCCTTTCTAGCTGCTTTGCCGGCTAGGCTAGGAATACAGGCCAGAGCTCACTAGCAGGTATGCTGCAAACCTAATTGAATCCAGTGGTCTTCAACGGTCCAGCAGAGGCATGCTCAAGCGACATCACTACCCAAACACGAAACTCAGGAATCCTTCGGCCAGAATGCAAAACATCCAGAAACCGAAACCCACGACACCGGAAATCCTAAAGCCTAAACCATCCCAATCCATACCAAGTCCTGCAAAATCAACACAAAAACATGGAAGCCGAGGCCGGGTTTGTCATGTGCTTCTCTACGCGCTGCTGTGAGCACTGAAAGAGAAGTTGCTATCTCTGCCTGAGCTGGTCCTGTACAGAAGTACTGTCGGCACCGCACTCAGCATCACCCCAGGTGACGACGGAACCATCGCCAAGAATGGCAGCAAAAGCAAATGCAGAGGCTTGGATCTGCTGCACATTCTTCAGCTGACTCTGCACAGTGCTGCTGTCGGCACCAAACGGAGCATTACCCCAGGTGACGACGGATCCATCGCTAAGAATGGCAGCAAAAGCATACTGAGAGGCTTGGATCTGCTGCACATTCTTCAGCTGACTCTGCACAGTGCTGCTGTCGCCACCATAGCTAGCAAAACCCCAGGTCACCACAGATCCATCGCCAAGAATGGCAGCAAAAGCAGTGTAAGTGGCTTGGATCTGTTGCACATTCTTCAGCTGACCCTGCACAGTGCTGCTGTCGGCACCATCATCAGCATTACCCCAGGTGACGACGGAACCATCGCCAAGAATGGCAGCAAAAGCAGACTGAGAGGCTTGGATCTGCTGCACATTCTTCAGCTGACTCTGCCTGTCGGCACCAAACGGAGCATTACCCCAGGTGACGACGGATCCATCGTGAAGAATGGCAGCAAAGGCGCCACTATTAGAGGCTTGGATCTGCTGCACATTCTTCAGCTGACCCTGCACGGTGCTGCTGTCGGCACCATACATAGCATTACCCCAGGTGACGACGGATCCGTCGTGAAGAATGGCAGCAAAAGCGAGGCCAGTGGCTTGGACCTGCTGCACATTCTTCAGCTGACTCTGCACAGTGCTGCTGTCGGCACCATACGTAGCATTACCCCAGGTGACGACGGATCCATCGTGAAGAATGGCAGCAAAAGCACCTGAAGTGGCTTGGATCTGCTGCACATTCTTCAGCTGACTCTGCACAGTGCTGCTGTCGGCACCATACTGAGCATTACCCCAGGTGACGACGGATCCATCGCCAAGAATGGCAGCAAACGCGCGTGAAGATGCTTGGATCTGCTGCACATCCTTCAGCTGAGCCTGCACAGCACTGCTTTCACCTTCAGTGTCAGCATTTCCCCAGGTCACAACCGATCCATCGCCAAGAATGGCAGCAAACGCACTATCATCGGCTTGAATTTGAATCGTGTTGGTGCGCAATAAGGTGAGGGAGTCACCATTCTGCACCCTGGCTTTGCTAATCGGCACAGTTTCTTCCATGACGCATCCAGATGAGTCCAGCAGCCGCCCTGTCCCGACCTCGAGTGCAACCTCTGCCCGTCGTTTCAAGGTTCCCACCGTCTCACCCAAGGCTGCTTGCACAGCGGCTTTCCTGCCACTGATCAGCCCAACTTCCACGTGAATCGACATGTTGCGAACCCGGCAATATCCGATCCTTCACCTTTGTACGATCAAGGTACAGGAATTGAAAGAAGGATTCAATCTACTGAAAGTTCTGCTGGGTACTCCGACCCTTCCATGATGCTTGCCCTCACTAGTGTCCCACGCAAAGAACTGATTGAAACATGGCACGAATCCAAAGCCATCAAGACCTTTACGGGCTTAGGCTGAAGGCTTTAGAGTACAGGGTGTAGGTGTGTGATAGTGTGCAGTTTCGGCAACCTGCAAATACTTCTAAAGCCATGCCGTAAGCCTTAACGCTGAAGTGTGCTCGAAAGATTCGACAGCTCACGCGGCCAATGAACCCTAAGGGCTTCTGTTCTTATAAGGGGTTTCTTTGATGGCTTGCCAGGCTCAGCAGGGTTTACAATGGTGTTCTCAATAAAACAAAGCGTGTATAAGCTTTAGGGTTAACGCGGCGCGGTGTATGGGCTTCGGCAGCTGCATATTGGTTTTGTAGTACAAAGTTTCGGTGGACTTGCACTCCCAACAGTTTGCCGGGACACCACTTAAATCCTCCACCTTCGAGATCCTACGGTGCATGCATAATGTAGGGGCCTTTAAAGTTAGAATAGGGTTTTGGGGCCCAAATATACTAGTTTTGACAAGGAACCGCCCAAAAAAAGTAGCCAGAAGCAACTCTTCTGAAAGCGTACATGTCGAGGACCAGCCTGGATGGGCCCGGTGGGATTGCAAGGTGCCTCATCGTGCAAAGTGCGGCACTCTTCCATTTAGGTTTAGGGCTCCTTCTCGGGAGTTTCAGAAAAGAAGGGGTACCTTATTTGGGGGTCCTAGATTATGGTGCCCAATTTTCGGAAACACCCATATAGTTTTGTTAGTTGCATTAACCGCTCCAAACCCCACAAGCCATACAAGCAGATTTCCTAAAGCCTGACCCCGGCAGGGTGTGGTGTATTTGTACTATTATATACATAATGAACACGCAGCAACACACACATATACATGTGTGTGTATATATATATATATATATATGCATATTACGTAAATGCAGGCATGCACTACCAAAATATACAACAAACCAATCGGAGAACTGATAGCCTAAAACCTGAAGCCTGAAACCCAAACCCTCAACCTTCTATCCACAAACCCCAAACCCTAAACCCTAAACCCTACGCTAAACCCTAAACTCCAAAGCCGCAACCAACAAGCCCAAAAGCCCTGAAACCCAAACCAACCTGCTGCTCCTGCATTACTTACTGTCTGTACCCTCAACTGTGCGAATTACGATATGATGTTCCACTTTGAATAATGCAAACCCTAAACCCGCACCCTAAACCTTAAACCCTGAACCCTAAAAACCGTAGTTTCAGCCCCCATCTTCCGTGGGAGTGGCCGGGGGATCCACCGAATCTCCGTCTCTTGCGCCTTCGAGTTTCCACGGATTCCTACGGTTTAGATTAGGGAGTATATTGGGTTTGGGGTAGTTGGGTGGTCTACGTAGGGTACGGTGTTAGGGGCTTCAGAGTTGTTGTGTTTGGGGCTTCACATTTAAGGTTAACGCATTCAGGGTGTAGGATTTGGGGATCCTGATTGTCAGGTTTGTACTGGTGCATGCAAGTTATGAAGGAACCAAGAATATCTTAGGGTGTGAATAATGCTGCTGCTTCTAGTATTCCCGAAGTCAACGGTATTGCCAAATCAAAAGGCTTGTATGCCGTTGTTGTCGTGACATTGCTACTTCCTTGCTCTACGTAAAAAGTTTGGCTTGGGATTGACTGAGGCCTAATTAGTTTCAGCTCACGTGGAAATTCATGGTTCAAGCGACCCGGTTCTTCTTAAGCTCGCCTTGTCGAAGAAAGGAGCTGCGCTCGAGTTTGGGGAATCTTGTGTTGCACTTGCCTGCTACATGGCGATGGGTTCCCAAACCCGGCCTAGTATTGCGGGGCAGTGGTGAGATGGTGCGCAGTTGCAACTGCAATATAGTCCAATATCAGTGTGCTTCATAGGGTCCTTTACTTAATTTTTCGGAGTTAAGCGTGGATCTAATATAACTGTTGGCCCATGACTGCTACCTACCTAAGACTCCGTATGTGTGAATCTACCCGCATCATACAGTCATACACAACATGGAATGATGGATTGAATGCAGCCAACGGCTTCATCGATCTTCGCAGTGCGGGATGCCGATGAGACGTTGTTGATCTTTGTGCCAGCTCGAAGATATCCCTACACCCTAACCCTATAAACCCTAAACATCCCTCAAACTGTAAACCCTCATTGCTAAACTAATGGCTTCAAGAGCTGTCTTCGCCGTTGCGGCGGTCACAGGAGTTGCCCCGAAGCCTAAAACCCTAAACCCTAAACTCTAAACCCCTAAACCGCTGCAAACAAGGGCGACACTGTGGAGCGGAGGGCTGACCCGATAGGGGAGTTTCCGGACACTAGGGGCACCTTATTTTGGGCCTTATAATCAGGATCCTAAGGTCCTACTATTTAGAGTACCATATGGTCCCCTATTTCGGAAACTCCCATATCCATGGATCCTTCTGAAATGGCCTTAGCCTTCCCGTTCGTCCTGGATCATTCGTTGTCTGCAGGTTTCAGACGATTCGCACCCCCTTCAAAACAACCAAACACCTAAACATAGACGGTTGCAGGTCATGCGCCTCTGCATGTAATACCCTGCTACTGAGGCATGATTAATTCGCTAATCATTGCTCATGTGTCTTTTGGCAAAGCGATGATGTGTGCTCGCTGGCAACACCCTGCAAGCCGTGAGCTAGAGAGCCTGCCGCAAGCCCTAAAGCCGTAAACCCTAAACCCTAAAAAAACCTGAACCCTGTAGGCCCTATAAACCCCTCTAAACCCTGAAAATCCTATAAGCCCTGAATCCGTAAACCCGAAGGTTTTGTAGAGCTACTATGAGTACTCATGTTCTTCTTTTTGCTACCATTATAATTGCTACAACTGCATGAGATCTTTGGGCCTACTTGGACCGTTAAAAGCCCGGCTAGTAAGCTCGTTTAGAACGGCAGAGCCTTCTCTGCTCGATGCAGAAACCTTCACCTGGGTTGTAGTTTTGGGGCTCTGAAAAGTATTTATGAATAGGTACCTCTATAGGAACCATAAAGGGAAATTAAAAAGTTTCCCAAATTGCCACCTAGTCACAGAGTGTTGAAGCAGCTCCTCAGGCGGATGCTTAAAGGGAACTCCAGAAAGTTGGAATATGGATTAATGGTAGTATCCCCTATTATTTACCTTAAAGGGGTTACGATAATGATATTCCAACTTTCCGGCTTCTACTGTAGCTGAATGGGAAGTGTTCCACCAGGTCTCGTGGGAGTTTCATTGACGGATTGGGCCTTCTTGGCCCTAAGGCGAACTCAGATTCGGGAAAAAAGGACAATCATGTCTTGGGAAGCATCCTACATGTTGGGTTCTTCAAGGTGCAGACAGGATAATTCCAAGGGTAGAAGGAGGGACCCCTAATAAGGACCCCTAGGTATATACCCTCAATATCCCTTAATATAGCTATTATATACCCATTATAGGCTAGGGGTCCCCATTAAGGGTCCCTCCTTTCCCCCGATCGCAAAGCCTGCCCCAATCGCTTTGCCGGTCCCATTAACACATGCTGGTGTGGTCGTTTTCCGCTCTCGTGGTTGGTGTTGCCAATGTGGGAAGCTTCTCTTCTGTGTGTATGGTTTGTAGCAATAATTCTGATGTTGGAAACATAAAAAGCTGGCAAGCTCTTCGGGTGTTTAGGCGGTTTGGCGCATGATAACACCAGCTATCCTAATTCATGTGATGGTAATGCTACCTGTTTCACTCGCTTCACGTTGGAAAATTTGGATCTTTAGGGGTCTGGCACCCCGAGAAATTAAGGAGAAATTCAGGTTTGATTAGAGTCCAAGGTTGAGAGTGTGAGTTGACATGGTGAAATATACGGTACGTAACCTCCACTGCGACAGCTCAGCACGCGGCCAAGGCCGCATCAGACCCGGTATCCTCCTGCCCAGACACCTCACAGGATCTGACAACGCAACCCCCGAGTTCAGGCTTAAGAATTCAAATCACTATTCGGCTTTTCTCAAAGGTCCACGTACTCATATACGTTGGCCGAAAAATAATGGCCAAAGTTTATGCATTCATACGGGTAGTTGTCAAAATTAAGGTCCCTTTTTGGGTACCCTAAATATTCGGTGCCGTATTACAGTAGGGACCCAAAGCTGGACCCTAGTTTTGACAACCACCCATATGCTGTAAGAGCACATGCACCCAGAGGGATTCCTGGATCATTGCATCTGCCTGTCAACGATTCGGAGGGCAAGCCGCGAAACAGCCACAGCCCCCCAGCTTAGAGGTTTGGGCTCAGAGCTTATAGAGTTCACAGACTTTATAGGTTTAGGATTTGTTGGGCTTGAGGATGTCATGTGGTGAATAGCCCTTAAGGAGGCGTTGAGGCTTTTCCAATGAAAAAATATACCGAAATGAAACCTCAGGGTGCCCTGTGCCGGTGCCATAATTCAGTACCACTACGGTTCGCCTTTGGGCATCTTGAATACCTAGACCCCGAAGCCTGACCTTGAAGGGATCCAGAAAGGCCAACATCTCCCTGCAAGGGCCGTTACGGCTTGCAAGGTTTAGGGTGTATGCCTATAGTTCTCCGAAGGCTCCCACTGCCAGCTCTAATGATTTCTTACGCCAAGGTCCCAAACCTTGAACCCAAAGTTCAGGAGGGTCTCCGCGATTTCAATTACCGGAAGCCAGGACTGAACTCTAAACGCCGGCATATTCTTATCTACGCGCGGCAGGGGACCTGAAAGGAAGTCCTAGCGCCAAACCTGCTGTATCCATACTCTAGCATTCTTGGAGTTCCTTGTAGTGGAATACATTTTTTTTTACGTATTCAGGCTGCATATTCTCCAGCCGTTATTGAAATTCCTTCCGCTTGAATATAGATTGAATTACTCTGGTGAATCACTGATGAAATGGAACAACACTGAACACCGCTGATCTGGAGGCTTCAGGGAAACGACTATTACTACTACCACTACTACTAATATTACTACTGCTACTACTACTACTACTACTACTACTACTACTACTACTACCGCTACTACTACTGCTGCTACTACTACTACTGCTGCTACTACTACTACTACTACTGCTGCTGCTACTACTACTACTACTACTACTACTACTACTACTCCTGCTGCTACTACTACTACTACTACTACTACTACTACTACTACTACTACTGCGTTGTTATTGTTATTGTTGTTTCTGTGTTTTTTGTTGCTATTGTTGTCGCCATTAGTGTCACCGTGTTATGAAAGTATAACTGCTACTACTGTTAGTACTTATGTGACTGTTCTTGTACATTATTGCTATTGTGGTTATCGAATACTACAAGTATAGTTACTGTTATCGTTACTTTTACTAGTATCCTGCTGATTTTTTGCTTTCACTAATGCCACTGTACTTCTCGTTACTATGCTTTCCACAAAGTATTGCTAGTATTCTTATGCTTCTTGGTACGGTTGGTGTTACCATTAGTATCATGATTTACCTGTTTGCTAATATTACTTACTATTTGATTTAAGATTGTTTATGATGATTGTTGCTGTTACTCTTACTATTCTACTTTTATTCATGATTTCTACCTACTTGCTTAGAATCCTGCTCGTACTAGGAATATCCGTTTTATGGCTGTCATTGTGATTATTCTTGTAAACTGTCACTACTAAGCTTCTTATATCTTCCACTTATTACTGCTGTTGCTGCCGTCATTTCTAGTAGTGATTACCAGTATTAGATTCCGTGTTGAAGGAGTTTCGGGCTCAAGGTTGCCCCAGGGTCCGAAGTATATGGGGGAAACTTACCCGATGGTTGATTCCCACCATAGAAACCCTGCTTTGCACATTGTGGGTACTCTCGGAAAACGAAATCGGATTGCAGCAGTCAGAGAAACAACGCGCGTGATTACAAAGGAAGCTGACATGAATCAGACTGCGTGCCTCAAGCTGGAGACTCGCCATAAGAGCGAAAACATCAAAAAGAGAACCCAATTGAGTTCACGCATTGGGGCTACAACGCCTGTGGAAGTAGCACGAACAAAGAACGAACTGCGCTACAACGCATGTGGAAGTAGCAGAAACAAAGGTATAGTAGTGTGTTCGGGTGCCGCCAGCTGCTCTCGCAGCAGCAAAGAAGCAACTAAGAAGCACTAGGAGGACACAGACTGCGTCTCAGCAGGATGATCGCCCAAGCAGAGCCTCTCGACCTCGAGGCCCTCCCTTGTCAACCCGAGCACGCCACGGCGTGGGTACTTCGGACCCTTCAGGGTTTTGTGTTGAGAACTCGCCTTCAACAGGTTTACACTTTCGTTTCAGGGTCTGGCGCTCTGACGGTCTGAAATATCATCCTGCATTGAGGCCTACAAAGCCGCACACCCAGAACGCTGGATCCTATACATACCCACTGCACTGGAGCTTAGGGTCCATGAATCTTTACGGGCCCCGGCCTCCTTCATACATGCTTCATCGCATGCCCCGACGAAGCTTGGCAGCACTGCAGCGAAGGCCAAAAGCCTCATCACCATGGCAGTCAGCCTTTCGCAATGCCGCGATAGCCACCTTGCGCTACCCTCGGCCCTGACTCCACAGTCTCGAAATCAACATAGCAAATGCAGGGGTCTCGAGAGATGGCGAAGATTCCACAACAAGGTGCACATCCAAAGCTCAAACTGAGCATGTAGAAATATTAAGAAACTATCATAACCAGGACCCTCCTTGTACGGGCATTTAGGGTCTAATAGAGGGTAGATGGAGGGTCTAGGAAGACTTTTCCGCCACACAGAGTGTACGAAGACAGGCCTGGGCTAGGGATTGAGCCAGGAGCCTGCGGCAATGCGCATGCGGTATTTTGCTTCGGCCTGCAAGTAACAACTTTATCCACCATAAAACCGAAGCAAAGGTCATGAAACCTAAACCCTGAACTCTAAACCCTAAATTTGGGGCTTGGGATAAAGCTCTGCATCCCGAACCCGCAGCATTCCGTAGATTTCGATGCCTGACAACTGAGTCTAAGGACATGATGAGCCAACGTTTAGGAGCTGAGGGCTTTAGGGTTTGGGAATCATATATTCCGTCAGATCGCATGTACACTCTTAACTGTTAACTGCACGGCCCAGCGTCTGGAGTGCTCCGTAGTAGCCTGTGTTGAACTGTAGAAAGGTCAAGGCATGGACCAGAAGCTTTGCAAAGCAAAACCCTTAATGCAGGGGCCTTAATAGTTAGAACAGGGTTTTGGGGCGCATTGCACAGCAATTGTACTGAGGGGCCACCAAAACAGTATAGGTAAGTATTAAGGTCCCTTTTGTATGAAGCACCAAGCTTTTGAACTTGTCCTGAGACCCCTTTTCTCGCAGCCGAGTCTTCGCTTTCAGCACTCCTCCTGCGCTTGGTGTGCCAGAAAGGTGCCATGTCCTCCGAAGCCTTGGCAAGAGACAAAATCGTTCTTTTTACCGCCCACAAAACAGTCTTCGAGTTTCGGGAACAGCATGTCGGGACATAGGGGTCTTGTTTGCTGTAAAAGTCTTGGTATTTGAGACGTGCACGGCTTGGTGCGTTGATGTAGGTTTTGATGGCCCCATTTTTCGTCAGGAGAAAGACTTAGGGGTCCGCGTCGCTTCATCTAACCCTGCGAACTCTGCTTTTTTTGGGGGGATGGAACGCTGCAGGTAGACCGCAAGTCTGAGAACCTTTAGGACAATAGCCTGCAAAACCCATCGGCCATCGACGCACCCAGACATCATACAGTAAGGATCCTGCATCTCCTGTTGGGGTTCAGGATTTTTTTGGGGGGCTCCTTTCTCCATCTGCAGGACTCCACAGGGGTGGGGTTTAGGGTTTACAGTTCAGGGCTAACAATGCAGACAACCGCAACCCAACACGAGGATGCTCAGAGCATTCGAAGCTGCAAAACCTCAAGCGTACGCGTGCGGAAAGGTAAGGACAACACCTTGGGGACCCTTTCCCCAACTAAACTCAGCTACACCGCACCTTTGGCCTTAGCGCCAAGATAACTTAGACTTGCAAAGGCCTCTGGCATATGCCCGATTCTGAATTCTACGCTTTTGGTACCCGGAGCCAAGCCGAACTCCTAAACAATACTTTTCCACCGACCAAGCCCTAACCCCTGAACCCTAAACCCCTGAACCCTATAAACCCCTAAACCCTAGACCCATAAACCCTAAACCCCTAAATCCTAAACCCCTAAACCCCTAAACCTCCCAAAGGGGCCAGCAGAGGCCGGAGAGAAGACGTGAAGGCTGCGAGCTGTAGGCGCCGGTTTTGGAGGATCCAAACATCTGCTGGTCGCCTGAAGTGGGTTTTGGTGGTGAAGGGGATTATGGGATTAGGGGCTTGGGCCTTAGGGATTTTGGAGTGTACGGTTTTGGGGGGGGATTTAAGGTTTATGGGTTTAGGTGTTTAGGGATTTAGGGTTTAGGGGTCTCGGTGTTTAGGGTTAGTTCTTGTTTACCGAGGGTCTACAGGGACTTAGTTCTGCAAGGGCTTGGGATTCCTTTTACGGGTCCGCTCTAGGGTTCTATGGGGTCCCATGAGGGTTTAGTAGCGCTTGAGTTACCTGTGGTCGCCGTTGTAGTTTCGTTGCTTGGCTTCCTTGTTGTTGGTATTCCAGGATCCCAACCAGAGAAACTTTGTTCTAGTCTCAAACCTAAACCCTAAACGCGACGATCATAAAGCAAATTCATATCATCCACTTATCGTCTAGCTGAAAATCTAAGATTTAAGATTGATCAATGCAGTGCTTGGTACCTCTAAGGATCGGCTGTTGCAAGTACCCAGAGAGCCCAATACCCTTTAATTAAGGAATACAGCTTAAATCATAATATGAAGCCCCTAATGATTTAAGGTCTATTTCTTAATTAATGGGTATTGGGCTCTCTGGGTAGGCTAGTTGAGAGGTGGTTCGATCTTCTGAAGGGGTTGGGGCATGGGAGTGCTTTGCAATGCTGCCTTCATGATGTAACTACTGCTTCTTGGTTGTATCGACGGAACAGTTAAGGGATGGGTGGTATGGATTCGTTTGTGAGATTTAACAGTGTGAACACACTGATGGATGGCTGAACACGGGGCTTCTGGAAGTTCCGGGCATGCCGCACTGCACTTGATCTGTACTTCGAAATACCCTGAGCCCGACAGCCTTCGAAATGCCGCAGAATCGAAATGTCACTCTCGTGCTCCTTACTCTCAGACTTTTGGGCTCGCACGAACCCGAACAAGTTTATTCTCGGAGGCCCAGTGATTGGTCCTGAAGTTTTGGGGGAGGCACATAAGGCTCTCCTCTTCCTCGGTGTACCGCGCGTACCTCAAGGGTTTGGGGCTCAGGGTTTAGGGCGGCCGCGTCGTTTCGGAGGACAAAGCCCTATACCACACACCCCACAGCCCTCAAACCAAGGCCGTCATATTAGGGGCCTTCATGATTAGAGCAGGGTCGGGGGAAAAAGTATACTTAGAGCTTACATACAAGCCTGGGAAGTGTGCAGACACCTATATCAACATGTATTAACTATGACTTGAACCGACAGCCGAAAACCCGAATTCCCACAACTCGAAAGCCGTCAATAGACTAAGTCCTAAACGCAAACCTATCTTGATCCATTACAGTACCAAGGCCAATGCTAGCTTATAATGCCATGACTGATAATTACTAGTGCTCATACGTAGGAATGCGAATGCTTTTCAATGAATCATAGTCATAATTGTCATAGAAATGCAGGGGCTTTAACAATTGGAACGGAGTTTTTTGAGTTTCTTACTATGATTTATAGCACAATATACTTCTAACGATTAAGGCGCGTACATTAATGCTGCCAAAGCATCATGGGCAAGCTCAGGGAGCGCAAGCTGCGGAACCAGCGTGGCACCAAGGGCACCATCTGGGTGCCAACCTTTGTCCACCTCGAAAAAGTTTAAATGGAGGTCTTGCAAATTCGGATAGAGTTTTCTTGTAAGTATTATCTCCCAGTATGCTTACATTGGATTATAAAGGAAGAATCTTGGCAATTTTTCCGACCTGTAAATTCGGGTTTCAATTGGCTTTAGGAAAATTTACTAAGGGTTCTGTACAGGGCGTGATAGTTCCGTTTTGTCTGCGTGTGGATGTGTTTTCAACATGGCTCTTCTAGGGTTGGCTAGAGATTTACAGGAGTGTGCAACAGCCGATACAGTTGGATAGGGATTTTGTTCCTCATTATATTTACAATATTTTATACCCCAAACCCTATTCTTTTTGATTAATGCCCCTATAGTACAGGGGAGGACCCGTGCGACGTGCCAGACAACCAACTCGGTGACACGGTCCCAGCAAAAAAACACAGCAAACACATTTAATAAAATCGGAATTTAGGGGCCCTAAACCCTCAAACCTAAACCTTTAATCGGTGTATATAATATGTGTGCCTGCGACCCAGGAATTTCACACAGTGTCCATGACTAAGCTTGATTCGCAGACTCTGATCACCGTGGCTGCCGCTGCGAAGGAGCTTCGAGACTCAAACCTACCGTTATTGAATGCCCATGAACCAATGGTCCATGTACGGAATAATTAGAGCAAATCTGCAAAACAAATCTACGCCCATGTACAGCCCTAGACAATTCTCGAACAGCCAGGAAACACTCCATCGCAACACACATCTCTACCTACAGTTTCCATTGTAGTTCCTTTCTTTGGTTAACCAAAATCTCCATTATAGGATCCTAACCATAAAACTGGCTAACCAAAAAAAGGAACTACAATGGAGACTATAGGTAAACCCTAAACGCCATTTCTACGCCCAAAGCCCTCAGCCCGAAGGTCCCTAAACACCTCCGGCTCAAAGCCCTAAAGGGAACTCCAGAAAATTGGAACATGGATTAATGGTAGGATCCCCTATAATTTACCTTAAAGGGGTTACGATAATGATATTCCAACTTTCTGGCTTCTACTGTAAGCCCCTAAAATCTAAAGACACAAGACAAAAGCTCCTTTAAACAACTGAAACCCTCAACCCCAAACCCTAAACTCCTAAACCCCTGAACCATAAACCCTGTAGGGCACCTTTAGCTTTTAAGGAACGAATCTCAGCCGCAGACTCCTTGCAGCTGTCGCGAACGTTTCGGTCGGACCAGCTGAGAAGGCCTGGAGGAGGTGTTTAGAGTTTAGGGTTTAGAGTTTAGGGGTTAGGGGTTAGGGTCAATTAGAGTTTGCGGGGTTGAGGGCTTAGGGGGTTTAGGGTTTAGGGTTTGGGGTTCTTGGGTTAATTAGAGTTTGGGGGGTTCAGGGCTTAGGGGGTTTAGGGTCTCGGGGCTCAAGGGTTTATGGGGTTTAGCGTTTAGGGGTTATGGGGGTTTTGGGGTTCAGAGCTTAGGGGGTTCGGGGTGTAAGGGTTTCGGCTTTACGGGGAGAGATAATGGTTTCACAAAGGGCGGCTTTCAGTGTACATCGGAGTTACGGCTTGCCAGAACTATTCTCTGGAGACACAAACATACTGAAACATATCGTAGACGGAAGGTTGAATACCCACTCAACTACTCATGGTTCCATACCCTGAACCCTCTTGTGTGGTCTCCTGGGCAGTCTACTCCTCAAGGTTTCAGTGCATCTCATGATTGCGTCGGCGTTCGGGCTCGGGCTTTAGGGCTTGGGGTTGAGGAATTTTTGGGCTTGCACTTGGGATTTAGGACCGTCATGGTACCGCCATCCCCACACTGTTCAACCCTTAAGCCGCTGTTTGCGAACCCTAAACCTCAATCCTAGAATCCCGAACCTTGTGCCCTCTTGCCCCAAAGCTTAACATCCCGAAACCCTAAACTCCCCAAAGCCAGAACTCCCGAAACCCTGAAACCCCTATTGCAACGGGCGAGCGGCCTGTCTTCCAGAAGAGGAGGTGGCTCTTGGCGTACATGGGCGGCCACTGGCCGCTAGGAAGTAGAGGAACGCCCTGCCCAGAGTCTCCGGAATTACGGCACTTTCAGGATCTAGTTTTGGTTTTGTTTGTTTGTGGTTGTTTGATTTTGATTTCAGACTAGATACAGTCGATGCTTAGTTCCTCAAGTTTTTTTTGCGGTGTGCAGCTGGGTTTGGGGTTCGGAGCTTTTGGGACGAAGGCTTCAGGGGATTCTTTGTGGTCGTTAAGGTCTTTCGTTTGCGAGAAGACCTGTGATTATTTTTGCTTTGAAGGCTTGATTAGGTGTTCCTTCAGGTTTTGACCTCAGGCGCTTGGGGGAAGAAGAACTTCATGACTGTGTCTTTAGAGCGTTAGGGTGCCAGTGCCAGGCTTTGTGATGTTGAGGGGTTCTTGGATGGTTGACACCGGAAGTCTACTATATGGGGCCTTAGAGAGTTAGAATAGGGTTTTGGGGCCCATTATACTATAATCATAAAAAGGAGCCCCCAAAATAGCACTAGTACTTATTAAGGCCCCTAGATTAGACTTGCAATAGGGTACGGAAAGGATATCTGGAGCACTTCATGAGGGTAGCTCTCTAAACTAGGGTCCCTTTGGGGGATCTTTTTTCATAAGGCTGCCCTACTATAGTGGGGACTGCCAGATAAGTCATAAGAGTTTGAAAACTCCATGCCTTGAGCTGCAAGATCCCCCCCCATTCACGAATCCTATACCCGAAACTTAGGGGGTCTAAGTTTGTCAAGCCACACGGTTTTCGGGTTTAGGCCTTAGGGGTCCAGGGTTTACCCATAGGCCCTTAAAGTACTTCCTTTTTGGGATTACCTCATAGGATTCTAAATATGAAGCCCAAAAAAAGAAATACTTTGGGGCCTTTAGGGTAGGGACAGGATTTAGTTGTATGACTTTTTACGAAGGAAAAAGGCGAGGGTAGAGTCGCAACAGCAGCCAGCTTTGTTGCTCCAAGTTCTTTCGGGCGGGGGTCGCCTCACAGGCGTTGTGGTACGCTTGATCAAATGTTTAGGGTTTAGGGGTTTAGGGTTTAGGGAGTTTAGGGAAATCGTCGGACGGAGGAGGAAGGGGCGGGGCATTGTAATGCAACACGAGCTCTACTCCAGGGCTTCCGGATTCTATCCGTAAACTCCGAAACCCCATCAACCTACGGGCCTAAACCCCACGATCCTAAAGTCTTGTAGAAGCCGCCAGAGTCTCAAAGAACCCGCAGAAAGTCCTTAAAGAACTGAACTTGAAACAGCAAGACCCTACACCCCAAAGCCTAGATCCTAAACCCCATGCCCTAAACTCTCAACCTCTAGTGGGCGGTTGTCAAAATTATGGTCCCTTTTTGGTCCTCCTAATACGGCACCTAATATTTGGGTACCCAAAAAAGGACCCTAATTTTGACAACTACCTAGAGTCTCCATTGTAGCTCCTCTTTTTGGTTATCCAATTTTATGGTTAGGACCCTATAATAGAGATTTTGGTTAACCAAAAAAAGGAACTACAATGGAGACTATACTACTATTTGCCTAAGAACCCCCAAAAAATAGAAAATAATAATCCCTATATTATCCCTATAAGGAATATATTAAAAATTTCATTTTTTTGGGGGGGTTCTTAAGCAAATAGTAGTATAGGTACCCTAGTTAGTGGTCCTGGGTCTCCAGGAGCGCTGCAGTGTCCGGGATGCCTGGCAGGGCACCAAAACGGTTTGGAGCTCAGGGCGAGGGATGGTGAGGGCTTTGGGTTTAGGTTTTGGGGTTTAGGCTACTACGCTTTGGGTTTAGGTTTTGGGATTTAGGCTAATAGGCTTTGGGTTTAGGGTCCACGTGTTCGGAATTAAAGGTGTGTAGGAATTCGTTTGGGGTTGAGGGCTCGTAGGATGTTTAATGTTTGGGGGTTGTTAAAGGTCTAGTCTATAGGAAAGCATGTTCAGATTCATGGGGCTTAAGGTTTGTCGCGCGGGGTACCACAAGGGGAGAGCTCCGACCAGTGAACCATGTAGTTTCCAGCTTAACACTTCCCCCCAATACCCGAAGCCATGTCAGTTTAAATCCTCGGTCCCGTGTACCCATCATGCGGTATACACGCGAACCTCAAAGCTTACAGCTACCATGTTACATACCGTTCAAACCACAGTACTCACTGGATAGGTACATGCAGCCCTTTTAGGGGATACTCCCGAATGCAAAATGTCTGGTGTTGGAGAAGTAAGCCCTAAACCACCCATACGGCAAACCCTGAACCGCCTGAACCCGATCCGTGAACTCTTGACATCCTTAACCCTAAATTCTAAACTCTGAACTGTTGGTCCCGCAACCTCCATCTATACCTAAGTAGCAGAAACCCATGATTTAGGTCTGGATGGAACCCTAGTGTTTCTCCAGAAAAAACAGCGCGCGGAGAGCGCAGCTGACCTGGATCGGATTGAGATGCGAGGTCCTCCATCGGACAACAGATTCGAATTATCGGGACCTTGATAATTTTAGACAAAGGGGTTCTTCGGAATTGTGGTTATGGGGTTTTGGTAGGGCTTAGGCTTGCCGTAGGATGTTGCGATGAACCGAGAAGATCTGAGAAAGACGTCTTATGGATTGTAGCAGGGTTTGAGAAGGATTCTACTGCTTAATAATGAGAGCAAGGTTTGGGGCTGTTTGGACACAAGGACTGACTGTAAGGGTCCAAAGGATCCAATAACCAGGTACGCCTTAAGCTCTAGGAAGTCCGATGCTTCAGCACTCAGCACCGTAATTACGTGCCATCAGGCCCCTACATCCTGTTCTAGTGTGGTGTTGCTTGCTCCGTCCGTCCCTTCCTCGCTAACCCCTAAACGCTAAATCCCAGAGAGTTCGGGGTTGCGGCTGTAAAGGTTCAGCGGAGGTGCTGAGGGCTCTCGGGGTACACTTTGCCATAATTATCTAACAAGGAAAAAGGAATACTGTCAATGAATGCCGAGCTTCTGCTTGGAAACTTTTGAGGCAGGCTTACGGCTAGGATAGGACTCAGGACGTTGCAGGTCGCCAGTGCCGTGTCTTGGGAGCTACGTCTGCAAGTCTTTTGCTGTACGGCTGCTCGTGATGCCCTACACCCTGCCAGCACCACCACTCAACGACAACCCATCAGACACGGATCTATCGAAAGGTATTTAAATGTATTTAACAAAGCTTGCACAGCACTGCTGTCACCGCCGTGGTCAGCCGGACCCCAAGTCACGACAGACTCATAAAGAGCAGCAAGAGCACGTTCACGGGCTTGGACCTGCTGCACTGTCTTGAGCTGACTCCGCAAGGGGCTGCTGTCGCCACCAAAGCCAGCATGACCCCAGATCACAACGGATCCATCGCTAAGAATGGCAGCAAAAGCGCGCTGAGAGGCTTGGATCTGCTGCACGTTCTTCAGCTACGGCTGCACAGCGCTGCTGTCGGCACCGAAAGCAGCATGACCCCAGGTCACGACAAACCCATCGTCAGAATGACAGCGAAAGCGCCCCAACCGGCTTGTTTCTGCTGCACATACTTGAGCCGACCCTGCACAGCTCTACTGTCGCCGCCATAGTCAGGATTACCCCAGGTAACGACGGATCCATCACCGAGAATGGCAGCAAACGCCGAATCAGAAGCTTGGATCTGCAGCACAGTCTTCAGTTGATCCTGCACAGCACTGGCGGGGATCTTGGAGGATTATTAGCAAGCCTTGTCGACCTACTTTGCTCCTGTCGCAAGCACTTGTCTCGGCCTCTCCAAAATCGTCACTCCGCTGCTGGAAAGCAGCGGAGTGACGATTTTGGAGAAGCCGTGGGACAGACTGAGGCTTTCCACAAGTAACACGACCCCAGGCCACAACCGATCCATCGCCAACAATGGCAGCAACACCAGAGGCTTGAGTCTTTTTGACATTCTTCAGCCGGCTTTGCACAGCACTGCTGTCGCCACCGGCGTTATGCTGACCCCAGGTCACAACCGACCCATCAATATGGATTGCAGGCCGCCGAGGGCAGCATGACCTCAGGTCACAACCGATCCATCGCCGAAAAAACAGAAAACAGCAAAAGCACGTTGAGAGGCTTGGACCTGCTCCCAGGGGCTGCCGTCGCCACTGCAGCCAGCATCACCAAGTCACAACCGATCCATCGCCGAGAATAGCAGCAAGGGCTCCACGAGATGCTTGAATCTGCTGTTCCTTCTTCAGCTGACCCTGCACAGCACTGCTGTCGCCACCATAGGCAGCATGAGCCCAGGTCACGACCGACCCATTACGAAGGATTCCGGCGCGAGAGAATTGGACCTGCTGTACATTCTTCAGCCGGCCTTGCACAGGGTTTACAGTCGCAGCAGAAGGCAGCACGACCCCAGGCTACAACCGATCCGTCGCCAAGAATGGCAGCAAAAGAAACAAAAGTGGACTGGATTTGATTTCTGTTCACGTGCAAGGTCAGTGAGTCACCGCTGTGAATCCTTCATTCCGTCATCTTTGCGCAGCCGTCCAGAACGACTCCGGACGAGTCCAGCAACTGCCCTTTACCGACTGCAAGTGCGATCTGGGCCCGTTGCGTCAACGTCTCCACAGTTTCGTTGAGACCGGCGTGCACCAACTTCCACGGAGATCGACATGAGGAGTTCTCAAGACCCGAAGGCTTAAGGGTATCCCAAAAGTGGGTTTTAGTAATTCAAGGCAAGCCTTAAGGCTTAAGGGTGAGAGCTCTTGAGGATCAAAGGATGAAGGCTTTCGTCTTGAGGTGGAGTCCTCAAGATCGGGTTGGGGATTGGGCGCCTCAGGTTTGGGTGCTAGGCTTTTGCAAGGTCGTGGCTTCAGAGTTCGGGTTAGGGCTTATAGGGTTCAGGGCTCAGGGTTTACGGTCCTAGCGGTTTAGAGCCGTGGGGCATCAGGGCATCGAACTTCTCAAAAACGCTGCACCTCTCAAATAAACGCTGCAGGAATGTTTGGTTGCCTCAGGATCAGGGCGGGTTATAGGGTCAAGCTCTAGCCCCACATCCTAATCCCGATACTACGCCCTTTAAACTCTAAACCCTACACCCTAAACTCCAGCGAATGCTTTACGCTCTAAGCCCCTTGGCTTGAAATCATGGCAATCTCAAGGCCAAGAGCAAAAGTGTGGCGTCCTGTCAACTGCTTACAGATTCCATAATCAGGTCTAGGGACTCGGGGTGTGGGGCATAGGGTCCATAGAGTTTAGCTGTAGCAAACAAGGTAAAACCAGGACATGATAAGCACTGTTATCGAACTCCCAATACTATCACTATGATCAGAATAGGCCAATACAGGCTTTAGGGCTGTTCGTTACACCTCTTCACGGAAGATAGAATCGGAAACCCTGCGGAACAGTATGAACATCCTTCAGGCTTCTATGACCTATGTCAAGCATGACGATATTTAAAGAATCATTAGATATATCGTCATGACCTTGACATATGGGTAGTTGTCAAAAATATGGTCCCATTTTTGGGTGAACCATAATTTTGACAACCACCCATATAGGTCAAAGAAGCCTACGGGGCAAGACCCGAACGCCGAAACCCGAGACTCGAAGGCTGTTTCGGGGTTAAGGGTTCCATGTGAAATCGAAATGCCAAGCGTGCTTGAAACAGTAAAAGCTCGGCTCTACACGCGAGACTTTGAAGCGCTAAGTCTAAACCGCAATACCTTGAAGATTTTCTGATATTGGACCTCCAGTAGGCTCTCGAGCTCAAGAATCGTAAACTCCAAAAACGAAACTCCTGAAATTGAAACTCGAACCTTAAACCCTAAACCTCAAGAGTAGGTCCTGAAGACTTTGTTCAGACTCCGTTAGTCGCCAACCTGAACCAGACGCAGACAGGTTCGCAATCTGGGAAGTTCCGGCCGTTATGTGGGTTACTGCAGCCCGCAGCCAAAAGGACCCTAGCTACCTTTTCAAAGCAGTATACAGAGATACCACAACAAGAAAGCCGACAAAGGTTCAGTGGGTGTTTTGCACTACAGGAAGGTTTACGAAAAGGCTTGCAAACGAGGTCGCTACTGGAACCAGAATGGCTTTGGAGCTGGGTTCCAAGGTCTTCAAATGTAAGGAGCCCTAATCGCAATATAGGGGTCTAAATGATTTCCATACTATTTTAAGGGCTCCGTATTGTAATCACAGTATAACATACCCAAAGCCCTCTTCTAATTATTAAGGCCCCCATCTTAATCATCGATTGATTGCACACGGATCTCTATGAAGCTAGAGAATTTAGGGCACGGCTTAGGCTGTGGTACTTTGACTCGAGACGTCAGTCTCAAATAAGAAACATTTCAGGGACTAAAGGGTATGAAACCTAGGGTTTAGGGTTTAAGGCTTAGGGTTTATAAGGTTTAGGGTTGAGTTTAGGGCATACTTAACCCTAAACCCAAATCGTCCAAAACCCTGTTGCCCGCTAGCGGTTCTGAGGGGCTTCCTTTTTGAGGCACCCGACCACAGCGCAGCAAGTATCTCGGAATTTCGGGAGTTCTGTCTATTAGCAGTTTCCTAGGTTTAAGTTCATCTCACCCTAAACCCTAATTTCAGGCCTCGGATTCTTTAGTGCAAAGTTCAGTCAGGGCAAGCCGCAGCTGGAGGCAATGTAGGGGCCTTGCAACTTAGAAGGCTTTGGGGGTTGCTTGTTACAATACCCCCCAAAACCCTATTCTACTTATGTAGGCCCCTACAGCAATCGGAAAACCAAGAATAACTTTAATCCTCAACCCTGGAAGGCCCAAAGTCCCAGACGGCTCAATTTCCCAAACCCGCGCGGACCTCATCGTCGGTCCGTGCACACGCCCCAAACGCAAGGCACTGTAATGCAGGGGCCTTAATGGTTAGAATAGGGTTTTGGGCCCGCTGTAGTTTGATCAATTAGGAACACCCAAAATAGGAAAGGCAATTATTACGGCTCCTATAAGCACTCCAGGCTGGACCCTGGATCAAATCCTATGGGTCCAAGTACCTGATAGTCATATGCTCTCCCAACAGCAACCTACATAACTACTATCCTGAAACCGAGTACGTTAGGGAAACAAAAACAACTCTGAGCCAGCGACCCACAAAGAGACGCAGCGAGTCCTCCGCAAATGTTTGGCGGGGCACCTCCGGTGGGAGCGTTGGACCCCAGCAGGTTAAAGTGCTGGCATGGCATGATTGCCTGAAAACGGAACAACTTACAGCATTCTCCACCTAAGGGAAACCCTAAACCCTACAATACCAAACTAAACCCCTCAACTCAAACCCAAACTTTACATGTTAGCAAGAGAAGCAAGATAACATATGGGAGTTTCCGAAAATTAAGAGTACCTTATTTGGGAGTCCTCATAATCGGGATCCTGCCAGTTAGGGTGCTATATTAGGGTCCCCTACGGAGGTTTTGTTGAGTGGCGGGGAGGGTGGGGGTACATCATGGTATACGCATACATGCATTGAGAGCGTATTCTTACTGGTTATCCAAATCTACATTATAGAGCCTGAGTTCCTTCGCCCCCTGACTGCTTCAATGCGAAGTCCACAAGATCTAAACCTGAGGATAAAAAAAGGGTTAGGTTTGGGGGTGAAAGGCAAGTAGGGGCTCAGAGTTTAGGGTTCCTGGTGAAGCGTTTGGGGTTCATGCAAGTAGTAAATCCTGGCTGCCGCCACGTGAAGTCTGTACAATAACCTTCCCCTAACCCTCCAATCTTCATCCCGAAAACGGGTAGTGACAGGCCTCGTGAAGAATCTCTTGGTAAAAGATCACCAGGGAGCCAGGAGCTATCTCCTTGGGCAACAGTTAGGTTTCCCTATCTGCATGATACAGGGGAAGCTTACCTCTTGGGGCTGATTGTTCTAGACTCCCTACTTGGAGGATCAGGGGACTAAGTAAGTAGGGACAAAGGACCCTAATTAGGGTTATAAGTAATTATAGGTATAGTTACCCTATTTATAACCCTAGTTACTAAGTCCCATGATCCTTTAAGTATAGCCATGAAAACAAGAAGCGGATGTGGCTGTTTGTTCATGTGTACACCTTCGCATGGAAATCGTGGCCCACAATGGTTCTTAGTTATAGGAGCCCCTATGTTCTCACTCACACATCCTCCTCCCAAAGACAATCTCGCAGGCTAATGAATTAACGCCTTTTGCAAAAATGCCAAACCAGGGAGCAAAAGCTACGCAAGCCTCATGTTAGGGCTGGTTGAGATTTAGCACTGCGGGTTTAGGATATCTCATTGGTTCTATACTGCTTAGCGTCACTATTGGCGCCCGTCATTCTCTCAAACTCCCATACATTCCCATACGAACGTACTGTAAGCCCTTATAACCCTGAAACCGAAACACGATGCAGCCACAGACCCACCCTTTTCAGCACGGACTGAGGTGCCGGCCAGCGCCCACGAGCACAGACCCACCCTAAACTCTGAACCCTAAACCTTTAGCCCCTTGCCTCAACACACACTTTGCTGTACATTCCGCAAGAAGTCTTTCACAACGCTGCTGTCACCGCCACGGCCAGCATCACCCCAGGTCACCACGGATCCGGTGCCAAGAATGGCAGCAAAAGCACCGAAAGAGGCTTGGATGTGCTGCACATTCTTCAGCTGACCCTGCACAGCACTACTGTCGCCACCGGAGTTAGGAGCTCCCCAGGTCACCACGGATCCATCGAGGAGAATGGCCGCGAAAGCACGGTAAGATGCTTGGATCTGCTGCACGTTTTTCAGCTGACCCTGCACAACAGCGCTGTCTCCTCCATGAGTAGCTTCACCCCAGGTCACAACCGATCCGTCGCGACGAGTAGCAGCAAAGGCACTGACAGAGGCCTGGACTTGCTGCACAGCTTCCAGCTGATCCCGTACGGCATCGCAGTCGCCACCAGAATCAAGACAACCCCAGGTTACGACAGATCGATCTTCAAGGACAGCAGCGAAAGCTCGGACTGAGGCTTGAATGTGCTGCACTGTCTTCAGCTGTTCTTGCACACCACTGCTGTCGCCACCGCACTCAGCATCACCCCAGGTGACGACGGATCCATCACCGAGTATGGCAGCAAAAGCACCGAAAGAGGCTTGGATCTGCTGCACATTCTTGAGCTGAGTCTGCACAGTGCTGCTGTCGGCACCATACTGAGCATTACCCCAGGTGACGACGGATCCATCGCCAAGAATGGCAGCAAAAGCACCTCCTCTAGAGGCTTGGATCTGCTGCACATTCTTCAGCTGACTCTGCACGGTGCTGCTGTCGGCACCAAGCAAAGCATGACCCCAGGTGACGACGGATCCATCGTGAAGAATGGCAGCAAAGGCGCCATTAGAGGCTTGGATCTGCTGCACATTCTTGAGCTGAGTCTGCACAGTGCTGCTGTCGGCACCATACTGAGCATTACCCCAGGTGACGACGGATCCATCGCCAAGAATGGCAGCAAAAGCACCTCCTCTAGAGGCTTGGATCTGCTGCACATTCTTCAGCTGACTCTGCACGGTGCTGCTGTCGCCCCCATGGTCCTTATCACTCCAGGTCACGACGGTTCCATCACCAAGAATAGCTGCAAAAGAAAAGGCAGTGGATTGAATTTGAACGTTGCGTATGTGCAATGTCAGCGAATCGCCATTCTGAACCCTGGCTTTCTTGATCGGTGCACATACATCCAAAACATGTCCAGATGAGTCCAGTAGCCGCCCTTTTCCGACTCCCAGTGCGAGCTGTGCCCGTTCTCTTAACGTCTCCACAGTTTCGTCCAGGCCTGCTTGCACAGAAGCTCTTTTGCCACTTAGCAAACCAATTTCCACAGCGATCGAAATGCTGCACACCTGATAGCTATGCCCAAAGCCCGAACCGCAACCCAAAGCCGCAAAGCCAAAATTAAATCCTATAAGACATCAATATATTTCATAACGGCGAAGGAATAGTGGTCGTGACCTCCTGTACCATTATAGAACCCTTAAACAATCCTGAATGCAACCCTGCATGGAAGTCTGCCATGCTCAGCAAAAGATCTCCGAGAACGCACGAAGCGGAAGAATTCAGTGGCTTCGACCCTGTCAACTCAAGAATGGCGAGCGACATCGCCCTGGGATTTTGGAGAGCCTATCAATAAGTGTCGCTAGACTGTAAACCTCAAACCCTTTGGGGGTTGCTCGGCACAGAAGGCCCAAGCTCCCACGTCCCCAAAACCGCAATAATCAACCGGAAGGCCACGCCCTAATCAATCCAGGGTCACAGTTATTACAACGGGACTTAGTTTGGGGAGTAGAATAAATTGACTATAGATGTAGTTGCAATAAGGAGCCCCAACAGAGACGATAAGCGCAAATTTCAAAATCAACGGAATTGCCGCCCGGGCTCGATTCGGCACATCTTCTTGGTACCGCGCTCTTCGCGGCAGAAGCCTCGTTTCGCAGTGGGGGACTAGGGCGTGACCAGCGCTGGGGGGCTAGAGGTCCACAAAGGGCACACTTAAAGAGCGAGCTGCACGAAACAAAGGCTTGGGCTTCGGCTATCAGGACATGGTCACTCACTCCCGAGGCTTCATCGTCGTCGCCGTGGCAGTAGGTAGTAGGGGTAGTAGTAGTAGTAGTAGTAGTAGTAGTAGTAGTAGTAGTCGTAGTACTAGTAGTAGTAGTAGTAGTAGTAGTAGTAGTAGTAGTAGTAGTAGTCGTAGTAGTAGTCGTCGTCGTAGTAGTAGTAGTAGGATCAAGGTTCAGACCAGTTGGGGCTCCATGAAATCGAATAACGGATTCGGGGTTCTTCCGGAACCCAAGCCCTTTCTGGAGTATAAACCAAAACCCTGAAATATGAGACCTGAGCTGCAAACACAAAGCTTACTTTAAACAAATCCGCACTCGGTTCTAGGAAAGTAGTTGTGTAGGTTAGGATTTTGGACAGTATATGATTATTGGGTACTTGGACCCTTGGGGACTAGAACTTGGGCATTGGAGCCGCCAGGAAGCCGTGCCTTGCGCCGCTGCTGAGCTCACGATGGCTCCTGAGACTCAGATACCAGTCCATCTCTTGTTGTTGCCGCCCCTGGTTGTCATTTCGTGGCATCACTACGCTTGTCATGATGATGAGGAGGGTCGCCTTAATAGCCATAATAGGGTTTTGGGGCCAATTATACCGTAGGTATAATAAGGAACCCCTGAAACAGTCGTATAGGGAAATTATTACGACCCCTATATATTATAGCACTTCTGTCGTCCGTTTTCCCCATCCAGTCTCGGATCTGCGAGCAATATTTTTTCTGGTGTAGTCCCAACACAAGTATACATCCCACGACCTTGGGCAGAGTTGCGTCATCTCCAAGGGATCTACTTTTGATTGGTTCAGCGGTTGAGGCTACAGGGTTTGGGGAGTACACTGGCCCCGGGAATGCACTCCTCTTTCGGTTGAGCTGCCGTCCTAGAGGACACTCGGAAGCATCCATCGACAGGGTCTCGACTCCTCGTGGAACCTGAGCCAAACCTGGCTTTTCCAGGATCTTGGCCGCCGGCCGAGGCGCTCATCTTCGACATTGGGGGTCTACCCCTATAGCCGCCATGGTAGTTCCTTTTTGGGGTTCATATTTAGACTCCTTTAAGGTAGTCCCGAAAAGGAACTACCATGGAGCGTATGGGGGGGGGGGGGGGGGGGATAGGGGTCTTAGGACTTAGGGTCATGGATCCCTGAGAAAAACATTTCAACCATAACAACCCTCACAACTTCCTTATCAGCCTTGCCAACGCCTTGAAATCCCTGCAGGCCCTTATGTACGGGCCTTGGTAGTTAGAATAAAAAAGGCTTCGGGCTCCTTTAGAGTATAACTACAATACGAACCAAAAGGAATTTGAATGATATTGGCATTTATTTACCTTAACCCACCACGACCTACTTTTTTGTCGGTTCTTACTATAAACCCTAATATGGAATTTATAGGAACCCTACAAAAAAGTAGGTTCTAGTGGGTTAAGGTAGGCTTCTACATTAAGCCCTAGCTCAGTGCAGGTAAAGATCCTGGCAACGCAGTGGAAAAACTGAGGGCGGCAGTCCTCCGGCAGAGAGTTGTTGGGCTGCAGCGCGTAGGGTTCTACAGTTCTACCTATAGGCTCCATAGTAGTTCCTTTTTGGGATTACCTTATAGGGTTCTAAATAAGAACCACTTCAAAAAGAAACTACTATGGAGCCTCTGGGTAGAGATGTCGAAGTGAGTCGCGTGTTTAGAGCTCAGCGTTTAGGGATTTTGGTTCAGGGTCCAGTGAGCTTCTCGTCGTGTTGGTTGTCGGGTTTTTTTGGATCAGACTCAGCATTCAGCATCCCGAATGCTTCAGCCTGGACCCTGTGTGGCATCGACCTCCAATCTCTAAACCCATCCTACTGACCCGTAAGCCCTGAAGCCGCAAATCATCTAAGCCCCAAACCCGAAGCGATAAAGTGCCGTATAAAAGCCCAAACGCAAGCCACATCGTGAAGTCAACTGCCCCGAAGCAAGCCCTTCCAAGAACCTCTCCGGGAACTTCTCTGGAGCCCCTGAAAGGAGCAACTTGAGCCACCCGAGATGGCAAGTTTTACCGACCCCAAGCTCAGGCTACAAAGGGCTTACCTGGACCCTAGAAAACCCACCTTTTCAGGACGTTTATAAAACAACTTAACATGGACCCCCCATACAGATGTTTGATTTGGTCAGTTAAGGTAGGGAACATGAACTGAAAGATCTGACCATTCCTAAAGCCCGATCATCAACGCTACCGTGATTTTGGAATTCGGGGTTCCATTCTTCGACGGTCCAGGTTCAACCAGCCGCCGAAAATCTCATCCGAACGGAGCTTATACTTGGCGATATCTCCTTGCGGAGGATGTAGGCTTCGGGTCTAGGGTCTTCGGGTGTCAGAGAGATGTTGTCGTCATCGTTCGCGGTTAGGCGTCCCACTGCTATGTATCGTACGAAGTACTACTATGATTGGCATTATTAGTCTTGACATTTTTGCTTTGAGTTTTTCATGCTTCTCACGTTGTTATGCTTACGATCACAATAATAATGACTGTAATGATTCTTGTTCCCAAAGGGTCCAAGTACCATTTTAGTAGGTACTCAGTAGGTATTTGGGCCCCAAATCTATACTATACCATTACTTGGACCCTTTGGGGTTATCACGATTCAGGACTTCTTCGTTGTCACGTTGTCGCGTCGCCTCACGGGTCGTTGGCTTTCAGTTCTGGCTCACCGCTGTGGGAGTGTTGTTAGGGTCGAGGGTCGAGGCGTTTGTGGGTCTCACTTTATCATTGTTCAGGATTTTGAGGTTTAGGATTTCGAGGGAATAGATGCTTGGGGAGCACAAGCGCAGGATCGCGGGTTGAGGATTCGGGGCTGAGGGCTTGTGGCTTGTCAATGACAAGGGCTCTGCTTGCTCGCAGTGTCTAGTCAAGACGGCTCTCTTATGTCTAGAAGAGGCCAGAAGTTCGGAACATCTAGACTGCTTACTGCTTGGCTCCTGTTGATTCGCAATATCCGTTTATGGGATTCGAAACGTTCTAGCACCTGCAACTGAAAGGCCAAAGGCTCTTCCCCGCATAAAATGATTAAAATGGCGGGCCTTCACAATTAGAGCAGGGTTCGGGGTGCTGTTATGCAGGTACACATCGGGGAGTCGGGGAGAAACTCGAGTAAAGCTGCTCCAGGCTTCTGAAGAGATGGCTACATGATTGTTAACTGCCTTACTCCCAAGAACCTGAATGGCAGCTTCCCGTATCGATGCGGCTGGTATCCTAAAGGAGGTGAACCAATCCACCTAGAAAGTATCAAATCTTCTTGAAGGCATGCACAGACCATGCAGTAGCCCTACAAGCCCTCACACAGTCGTATATGAGGCCCAACACTCACGGCAGCCGAGGTACTGTGTGTCGTTTCCCCAGTCATCTTGTCACCTCTAGGGGCTCTACGGTAATCCCCATAAAATTGGAAACCGGATTAAGGCCAAATAGTGCTGGGATTCCCTATACATGACTCTTAAGGATTGAGGCTATTGGGTTTCCAACTTTTTGGCCTCTACTGTACAGGCCGCCATAGTATGAGTTATTCAAAGCTCCAAGGGATACTGGGCGAACTCGTCGCGAGAGTGGCATGGGCTGGCCTAGGCCGTGCCTTGTAGTAGATGGTTGCTGGCCACCTCATAGTATCGATCCTAAATCCTAAACCCAATAAAGCCTGACTCTCACCTCTAACCTAACCATGAAACGGTTCTCCACAAAAGAGACCGCAACCCGGGGGTCGAGGCAACGACTAGCCCGCTTGAACCCTTGTGAAACCTGAAAATCTGAATCTGAATTTGGGGTCCAGTTCTTGGGGTCCAGTTCTGGGTTCTGGTTTCAGGATATTTGGGCTCATATTAAAGGCAGCAAGGTCCTTCGAAAAACCCTAAACCCCCAACTCACAAATCGCAATCCCACACCTCCACAACAAAATCCCGAGACCCAAATCCCGAGAACCCTTCGCAACCTACCAACAACGGAGACTTCAAATATCCCGCCGGGCCTTTCTTTCGAATGCAGAGCCCTCGGTACAACTGGAGGCGTCTAAAGGCTTTGCTTTGTAGAGACTGAAGTTACTCTTCGGGCCTCATACTGGGGCCTTACCAATTTGATTCATTAGAATACAGCTTTGGGGTATACCATATAGCATATCTACGCACACAAATCCCCGAACCTTCAGCCACAGACCCTAAATTATGAAGCCCAAACCCTAAAATAGCACAGACCCCGATGGTATTACTGGCCGAGGTGTTTCGGGTCTTCGGGCTGTGGTTTCAGAGCTGACCTTACGGTTAACCGCTTCAGGCTTGGCGCTTGGTGACCACTCTTTGGGATCTGCCCACCCAAATTTAAGAGCCAACAACCATGAACATGCTAATCTTCAAAGCTCTAAACCTACATCTAAAGCCTAAAGCCCTATACACACGTACACCCAAAGGACTAAAACGTTAGACCCCGCATAAACCGTGGACTTCGGCTGTAATAAAATCTTGTTATCGGCTCCTAACCAAAATAACTGCCACCCGAAAACTCTACCACAGGTTGCAAAATCCTGATGCGGCCCCTTTTCGAAACCATTTAATGCGCAATGCAGGACCCTTACAAAAAGGAGCCTCGAACGGCCGCAGAGTCAGCCCTAAAGCCCAAATCCTTAACCGTTTAACCCTGAATCACAAACCCTAAATCATCCACCCCGAACCCAAACCCAAACCCAAACCCTGAAACCTAAAAGGTGAATCCCGAAACCTGACTGCTGAACCTCTAAATCGTAAACCATTGAAACCAGCGGTCTTGTTCAGCCGAAGTGCGATCCCAAAGAAGTTCCAGCTTCTTCTGCTTGCCGTGCGCAGAACGCTGCCTCAGGGGTCCTACCTATATACTTATAGAGTTGAAATTCGGAATTTGGGCTCAATGCTGAAGGCTTTTGGGTTTGGGGTTTCAGGATTTAAGACCTTAGGGTTTACGGGTTTAGGGTTTGGGGGGTTAGGGCTTAGGGTTTAGACGCAGTGAGCACTCCCATGTCGACAAGCTGCAAGTACTGTCGAAAGACGCCCAAGGCCTCCTGAAAGCAGCGAAGCCTCAAGGGACAGCGTTTTCCAGGTATGTAGTACTGTACAACCTAAATTTAGGGTTTAGGGAATAGTAGCAAATTACATAGAAGCATATCATAGTACACTAGAGTTTATGAGAAGCTGGTAGTTCAAGGTAACTCCGAGATCCAAAACCTGAGCTCGCGACCGACATTTCCGCACAGAGGGGTGATGAAACGAGGACGGATTTCCTAAGCTTCCACTAGCGAGGCAGAGGCGGTTCCGGGAAGGTTCAGGGTTACATTCCTGGGCTCTCGGGATTGGGCAGAGGGGTTGTGGGTACATTCCTCAATGAAATCCCTCAGCATCGGTCCGAAACCCTTACACCACCCGAAGCGCTCTTGGTGCAAAAGGGAACCCTTAGACATGACCCCGAAACTCTGGCCCTTGGCCAAACCGCCGCAGCCAACACAAGGGTAGTTCTCTAAATGAGGGCCCCTTTCTAAGGTCCATTCTATCAGGGTGCCGTACTATTTTTTTGTTGGGGGGGCGGGGTGCGAAAAAGGATCCCAATATAGTTACTTTAACGTTTTGGATACCTTTAAAGAATCCGCCAAGAAGGACCCTAATTTAGAGAACTAGTCCGAAAAAGGGATCCCAATATAGTTATCGTTTTGGATCCCTTTAAAGAATCCGAAAAGGAGGACCCTAATCTAGAGAACTACCGGTTCCTAATAATCATATACTCTCCCAACTAGTAACCTACATAACTACTTTCCTGAAACCGAGTAACTACCCAGAGGCCCCAAAGTAGTTCCTTTTTGGCGCTCATATATAGAATCCTATAAGGTGATCCCAGAAAGGAACTACTGTGGGGCCTCTGGATAATTAGTGGGTCCTTTGGACCCGCCGGCCTACGGCTTGCAGACCAGCGGCCAAGTGCCCCGAAGCTTCCAAGTACGAAGCGCTTTGCACCTGGCTTAAGGGAAGAGGGTTCAAGGTTTGGGAGGGTTTATAGTAGAAGCCCAACAGTTGGAAACCCAATAGCCTCAATCCTTAAGAGTAATGCAGAGGGAATCCCAGCACTATTTGACCTTAGTCTGGTTTCCAACTTTATGGGGTCTACTGTAAGGGTTAGGGTTGCCAGGGTTTAGGGTTTTAGGGTTTATGAGTGCAGGGTTTGGGGTTTAGGGCTTAAGGTTTGGAGTACGGTTTTGGATTGTCGGGCTCGAGGTTTAGAGTTTTAGGTTTTGGAGTGTCGGGTTTGGGGTTTAGGGTTTAGAGTTTGCGGCTTTAGGTTGGACTGAGGGTCTTAAGGTTTTGGGTTTAGGGTTCGGGGTGATGGCGTCTGAGGGTTCAGTGGTGCGTTAGTTGTGAAATCAGTGGTTCAAGGGCCGCCCACAAAACGATGGTTTTTTAACATGTACTGACGTGTCTTTCTGCGAAGCAAGGCCTGTCGAGATCGACATAGTTATCGAAGGCTTTGGGGTCTGCATAGAACAGACCGTAGCGCACAGACAACCTACCAGAGAAAAAGAGAGCTTCGCTGTAGGGTTTGGGGGCTTGGGGTTGAGGGGTTCAGGGGCTTAGGGTTTAGGTTTTAGGGGTTGAGGGGTTTAGGGTTTAAGGTTTAAAAACCCTGTAAGGCGTAGAAGCACCCTAAAATCCAACTGGCCATTTTGCGAAAGACCTGCGCTGCCTGCATGCCAAGCTTCTGGGGACTTCCTGCTTGTGACTGGATGGCTTAGGGTTTAGGGTTGATGCAGATGCTCAACATGATTGAAAAAGATGCAGCCTGGTGCACAGCTTAAGGATTAAAACTGATCCTGCACAGCGCTACTGTCGCCACCAAGCGCAGCGTTACCCCAGGTCACAACCGATCCATCACCAATAATGGCAGCAAAAGCGCGGCGAGAGGCTTGGATCTGCTGCACATTCTTCAGCCGGCCCTGCACAGCACTGCTGTCGCCACCATGGTCGGCATAACCCCATGTCACAACAGATCCATCATCAAGAAGGGCAGCAAAAGCACCATCGCGACTGGCTCGGATCTGCTGCACATTCTTCAACAGACCCTGGACAGCACTGCTGTCACCACCAAACCTGGCATTGCCCCAAGTTACAACCGATCCATCGTTACGGACGGCAGCAAAGGCAGCGCCGCAGGCTTGGATCTGCTGCACATTGTTCAGCTGACCCTGCACAGCACTACTGTCGCCACCAAGCGCAGCGTCACCCCAGGTCACAACCGATCCATCGCCAAGAATGGCAGCAAAAGCAGCGCCAGAGGCTTGGATCTGTTGCACATTCGTTAGCTGACCCTGCACAGCACTACTGTCGCCCCCACAGAAGTCTTGTCCCCAGGTCACGACCGATCCATCACCAACAACAGCAGCAAAAGCAGCACCGCGGTGACCTTGGATCCACTGCACATTCCCTAGCTGAGCCTGCACGGCACTACTGTCGCCACCGTAGCTAGCACGACCCCAACTCACAACGGATCCATCGCCAAGAATGGCAGCAAAAGCAACACCAACGGCTTGAATCTGTTGCACGTTGTTCAGCTGACCCTGCACAGCACTACTGTCGCCACCGAAGCCAGCATTGCCCCAGGTCACAACCGATCCATCGCCAAGAATGGCAGCGAAAGCACCTGCCGCGGCGGCTTGGATCTGCTGCACATTTTTCAGTTGACCCTGCACAAGGCTGCTGTCGCCACCAAGCCCGGCGTCACCCCAGGTCACAACCGATCCATCGCCAAGGATGGCAGCAAAAGCAGCGCTACAAGCGTGGATCTGCTGCACATTCTTCAACAGACCCTGGACAGCACTGCTGTCACCACCAAACCTGGCATTACCCCAAGTTACAACGGATCCATCGCTGCGGACGGCAGCAAAAGCGCGATCAGTGGCTTGGATCTGCTGAACGTTTCGCAGCTGACCCTGCACAGCACTGCTGTCGCCACCATGCGAAGCATCACCCCAGGAAACCACGGATCCATCGCCAAGAATGGCAGCAAAAGCCTGATCAGAGGATTGAATTTGCATCCTGTTTACATGCAAGGTCAGCGAGTCACCGTTTTGAATCCGCAAATTGGTGGTCTTTGCGCATCGGTCCAGAATGACTCCAAAGGAGTCCAGCAACTGACCTTTCCCAACTCCAAGTGAGATCTGTGCCCGTTGTGCCCACGTCTCCACGGTTTCGTCCAAGCCTGCTTGCACAGTAGCTGTCTTGCCACTGAGCAGTGAAACTTCCACTGTAATCGACATGAGCGTTGCAAAGCGTAGAAGACCCGCAACGGCTCGGGGCTTTGAAGATTGGGGCTTGGGCATCTGTAGGCTTTAGGATGTGGGGGATGTATGCTTTGAGGTTGACGATTCCGGTTTGTTCCTTTAGCAGGCCAAAGTTCGGAGTGTCCAGGGCTTTCGGCGATTTGGAGGCCATCCCCTTAGCTCTCAGCCCTGAACAGGACACGACGCACTCTCCCGTTTCTTGTGTTTGCTTAAGCTCAGAAGGCAGAGCTGCAAGAAAAGCGGGGATGATGATGCTTCTCAGCGAGATCCTGAAAATCCGCGAAGGATGACCCAACCCCGAAACTCTTAAACCCTAAACCGCACCGAAACTCGTAAAACATAAACCGCAAAGCATCGACTTCTGCACCCTGCACCTAAACAGGTGAACCCTAGACCCGAAATCTTAGTTAGCCTTTGAACCACAAACCCTAACCCCCCGGACACTACACACCGATTTTTCAAAGGCTTCCAGCTGGAGCGGGCCTGTCTGGAACTCGGGAAACCTGGGAATGCCAGAGTCTTGCAGCGCTGCAGAAAGCGTTGGAATGTCGAGTAGTGTGGGATACTACACTCATTATACTAAAGAACCCTAACGAATAGCATCATTTTAATATTCATGCTGCCATATGAGTATTATAGTGCGTGCTACCGTTCTTTCCAGGCTTCCTTCTAGAAATTCAAGAAGCCTCTTGCACTCAGGGTGTCAAGGCGGGCGCGAAGGGCAAAAAGGGCTTCGGAATAGATATGTCCAATGTGTAAATTAAGGGCGCCACGCTGATGATCAAAATACGGTTGTGGTGCACATGATCGTGCAAGTATATAGCAGTTATGGGGTTGGGATGGGTTGGGGTTACAGCTGCTCATTATGCAGTTCTCTCGACTGAAATCCTTCCTGGGCTAACTGAACTTAACAGATTATGTGCCTAGAACCCGTTTGTACGGAAACAAAGCATTCCGCAAAAGCCCTAAACCACCCAGGAACGAATATAGAAGCCTGAATAATTACGAATCCCCTCATATTGTTAACATACCCCAAAGCCCCATCCTGACAGGGGTCTATGTGCTTTTCGCGAGTCATGACATGGTGAAAACTAGGGATGTTTGTTTGAGTAGAACAAGATCTGTAGGTCTATGAAGTATAGAGCCCTTAATCAAAGGCTTCTATGTTACCATCAAAGGGTTCTTTCGCAATTCTAAACAATATGTACGGCTTTATTACTGAAAAAATGCATAGACCCCCTCCCCCGAAATTTGAAAGGTAAACCAAAACCTCAAAACGGCCGCTTGGGATTCTGCTCACAAGCTGCCCAGCCCCATGAATCTGATTGAAACCAGGGTCTTCGGCTTGGCCAGACCTTCCAAAACCCCGTAATTAAGGAATATACCTTAAATTATAGTAGGATCCTTAATATGATTTAAGGTATATTCCTTAATTAACGGATTTGGGAAGGTCTGGGTGGCCTTACCCAGAGGCCCCAAAGTAGTTCCTTTTCGGGGTTCATATATAGAATCTTATAAGGTAACCCCAAAAAGGAACTACCATGGGGCCTCTGCGTAATCTGATAAAAAGCAGGGTCTTCGGCTTGGCCTTATACCGTATGGACACCAGCGCATCTTCCGTTAAGGGTCCTGAGACCTCTAATGTAGGAACCTGATTGAGAAACCTTGGGCCTTTATTAGGGTTCCCTGTATGAATCCTACTCTTTTGGGGTTGTAGGCCCAGGGTTTCTTAATCGGGCTCCTACACTGGACTAGGACAACGAACTCTGAGACCCTCAACAAGAGACCTGGGACTTTTGGGGTGGGTTCTGCTATGCGGCTGCGCTGCGATGCTATAGCGGATCGCATCTCGCGACGAATGCGGAGCACCTCTCTGCTGGGCCCAACAGCGCATCTTAGATCTTACCCCGCGTCCAAAGCACTTTCTAGCAAGGTATGTGAGTACCCAGAGGCCCCAAAGTAGTTCCTTTTTGGGGTTCATATATAGAATCCTACAAGTTAATCCCAAAAAGGAACTACTATGGGGCCTCTGGGTATAGGATAGACGAGGTGTAATTACGCTAAAGTTCACACTCATGGCTTGGATTCCGCTCAGATTTCGGAGTTGATTTCGGACATTGACGTTTGGGATTTGCGGGGTTGTGAGGATTGACGAAAAGTGTGAAGATTCCCTACTCCACTCGGCAAAGACTGGGCTCTTTATGTCAAATCAAAGCACCTACCACATACCCAGAGGCCCCAAAGTAGTTCCTTTGTGGGGTTCATATATATATATATATATAGAGAGAGAGAGAGAGAGAGAGAGAGAGAGAGAGAGAGAGAGAGAGAGAGAGAGAGATTCCTGTAAGGTAATCCCGAAAAGGAACTACTATGGGGCCTCTGGGTACGAACTGCTTGGGAGCAACGGGGCTCATTGATTGAGGGCCCCTGGGCGTGTTTATTCTTGCAGCGGTTAAACGGCCAAAACTGATGTCGGGTCGTTGAAGGGATTCGAAAACAGGCTCAATATCTACCACGTTGCATACTAAGATGTTAGAACCCTATCTATGGGCCCCATAACTACCCTTCTCTACTGCAAGTTCGAAAGCAATGTGTAACATCTCCCTGAAAGGCGGGCCCAACTAAAGATCGTGCAAACTCTGAACCCTAGACCCCGAATTCAAGAGCAAATTTTCGTCGCTCTTTCACACTGAGTTAGTGTAGTGATCACCAAAAAGGAGCAGCGCGGGTTTCAACTGGCTCGACTCCAGGTCAGTACGGTTTCGGGCCGTGGTAGGGATTTGGGGTTTAGGGCTGAAGGTCGACTTTTGCAGAGTACTGCTCATGGCTTACCCAGAGGCCCCAAACTAGTTTCTTTTTGGGGTTCATACATCGAATCCTATAAAGGAACTACTATGGGGCCTCTGGGTAAAGCCGAACAAGCTTCAGGGTTCAAGTCGGAGTCGAGTTGAATTAAAATGGTTTTGGCAGTCACATTTCAAGAGTGCAGCCTTCAAGCCCATTGCACTTTTGGGTTTAGGGTCGAGAGATCTCCTTGCTGGAGCAGATGCTGGCCTTCTTTATCAGGATCCTGTAGAAAACCCTTGCTATCGAGGAAGATTTTAATCACCAAGTTTAACGCGAGGCATAGATGCCCCGAAGCTAGACCCGCGGCTTCATGTTTAGCAGCCGCAAACTGGCCGTGAATCCTGAACCCAAAACCCTGGACAGGCTGCCCTGGCCGCCTAAAGCCCAAACCGTAGTCCTAAAACGAAAGGGCTTGTAAACACCTTACCCTGGGTCCAAGTACCCAACTACAGCCCTACAGAACCTATATAGGGACTACTCTAAGGCCAAGTTCTATAAACTATTTGGGTACATGGACGGAACCCCTTTCACTTGCCGCCCTGGCACATCAGCACCCAGCACTGGGATTACCAGCACCCCATCGTCGGTGAGAGAACTGCCAAAGCTCTGAGCAAACCAACAATACAAGCACGGCTATATTGGGGCCCAATAATTATCAACACCCTTCGAGGTGCCTTATTCACATTTCACTGAAATGATCTCAGAAGATATACCCCAATCTAACTGTTGAGGCCCATATGATAGCACCTCAAACCCAAACCCCTGACCCCGAACGCCCAAACCCAGCCTGCGTTCAGCTTGTAATCTATAAATTCCCCTTCTATTTCTCGGTTCTAGGGACCGCAGTTTTGAGGTCCTTGAAGAAAAGGGTGCCTGAATGAACCGTCTATGTTACAGCTACCGGATCCGAGCGTCTCGGTCATAGGGAGGATACAGCAGACCTTCTGAACAAGGGAAAAGACATAGCCCTCATGGGAAACTACCAAAAGCTACTCTTTGTAGCGCCCATGAACAAAAACAGTTAGGGCCACTTAAGGATTATATTGATTAAAACAGGATCCTACACCCCCTACCCTGCAACGAAATGTAGGTCATGGTAGCTTACGGCAGACAACCCTAAGCCCTTGCTGCCGTGGACTCTGGACCTGGGCCCTAAACATTGAAAACTTCTGGTCAACACAAGCGCACAGTTCAGGATTGCACGTTGACGGTTGTGAGTTTAGGAGCTTAGGTGGCTGTGCTCAGCAACTGAGGAATCCAAGCCACCCAGCCCCAACCCTAAACCCCAAGCGGCAACCCTAAACCCTAAACCCCAAACCCTAAACCCTAAACCCCAAACCCTAAACCCTAAACCCCAAACCCTAAACCCCAAACCCTAAACCCTAAACCCTAAACCCCAAACCCCAAACCCTAAACCCCAAACCCTAAACCCTAAACCCTAAATCCTGAACCCTAAACTGGAAACCTGGCCGGCCCGCCAAAAACCGTCGCGCTTGGGACCCATGGGCCCCAAAGGCCCGAAATGCGTGATGGGTTTAGGTTTAGGGGTTTAGGATTTAGGGGTTTAGGGGTTGATGGGTTTAGGTTTAGGGGTTTCGGGTTTAAAAGTTGAGGGTATAGGGGTTTAGGGGTTTAGGGTTTAGGGTTTAGGTTTAGGGGTTTAGGGGTTTAGGGGTTGAGGGGTTCAGGGGTTTAGGGTTTAGGGGTTATAGGGTATAGGGGTTGAGGGTTCGGGGCTTTAGGGCTTTCCCTAGGCAGCCTATGTCGACGGCTCAACATGATAGTTCTGAATAGCCGGTAGAGGATCCTTAATCCTTGCTAGAAGGCAGAGGCTACTAATAGAAACCCTCAAAATTAAGATCCTAAATCCCTTCCCCCTAATATTAAAGGACCCCCCCCGGAGTTTTATATTAGGGGGGGGGGGGCCTAAGAATAGGGGGAAGGGATTATTCTAAGCACCGTCAATCATTCAGCCCGTAAGCGGGCCTCGGCTTGTAGATTGGCGGCGGCTCCTTTGAGGTCACGCGGCCACGGGCGCCCATGGCAGTAGCGGTGTAGGGTCAGGGTGTCTAGGGCCTAAGGTTTCGGGTTTTGGTTTAGGAAGTTTAGGGCTCAAGGTTTCGGGTTTAGGGTTAAAGAAGCTTGGGGCTTAGGGTTTTGGGCTGAAGTGCACGGGGAATCTATGTAGTTTATCGTCTTAAACAAGGATTTAGGCACTATAGTCTTTCTTGTCTTTTAAGCTTCGAGCTGTGCACATGCACATACTCAGACGTCCATTTTGTTCCCCCCCAAACCAACAGCATGTATCAAGCATGTCTTCTGGTCTTGTCTGGCCTATGCCCAGACCTGGACCCTGCAGCCCTACACCTAATTCAGTTCGGTATCTCATGACTGAACTCTGGGTTGAGGCATCATTGCTTTGCTTGGGGCTTAGAGTGTAGTACGAGGGATGAAAGGTCGTTGGGCTCGGGTACCAAACCCTATGCTCCCAGACCTTCCAAAATCCCTTAATTAAGGAATATACCTTAAATCATATTAAGGATCCTACTATAATTTATGGTATATTCCTTAATTAAGGGGTTTTGGAAGGTCTATGCCACTGGGTTGGCTGGAAACGAGGGTCTGGTCCTGGCAGGGAGGCCGTGGTGACTACACCCTTCCCGAAGCAAAAAGTAGGAACCCGGCCGGGTGCAAAGCTTAGATGCAAACCTCTAGCAACCTCGTCTACCGAAACAGCCGTAGTCTCTAAGGTCCTTAGTTGAAACAGTGTGGGACAATGCGTTCTGGATAATGTCGCATTCTGTCCATCAGCAGTAGGCTCTAAAGCCGTAGACCGAAAGCCTGTGGGGACTTCACGAACAGTCGAGCGATCGCATGCGCGAAGGACAAATTTCCCCAAGCCATGCACACTGGGCCCTGTTTAGGCATTACCTTCCCTTAACAACAGTAGCTGCAGACGGCGAAGATGGTGTAAAGTTTGCCTTTAGCTTTAAGGCTGGTGCTGGTTCTCAGCAGGGAAGGAGGGCTCGTATAGCTACGGTACAAGTTCTAGCCCACGGGGTAGTAAAGTAACCTGCGGCACTTCCTGAACCCAAATATAATATTCTCCTGGACAATCTCCATTAGCCGCATACTATCGGCAGGGCTGACCCTACATTCAAACCTAACCTTAAGCCACATAACCCTGATACCCTAGACCTCATCAACCTGGAAGCCTAAGCCTTATCCTCTTGCGCATGAAACCCTACACCTGGTTCCCTGAGACTCCAACCAGACGAATCCCAGATGTTTCTGATCGCCTGTTGAACCCTAGACGAATACCCAGAGGCACCAAAGCCAAGCTCGAAGCCCATATATCTATAATCATATCTATACATGTGTGTGTGTGTGTGTGTGTAAGTGTGTGTGGGTGTGTCTGCGTTTGTGTCTACACATATACATATATACATATATATATATATATATTAAAAGAGAGGACCCCCGCAAGATGGACAGAGGACTGCGAAAAGATGGTGCCACTGATTTCCGGACCTCTGTGTCAGAGGACTTTCAATGTGCACAAGCTACACCCAATAGCCTAAACCCCTAAACCCTAAACCTTCAATGATTATAAACCCAAAATGCTAAACTCCACACCCTAATCCCTAAACCCCTGAACCCCTAAAACCTAAACCCCTAAACCCCTAGACCGTGAACACAATTCTGGGGATGTGGCCGCAGATCTTCCAAAGCTTCCAATCTCAACAAGCGGTACTCTCGGGGTTCCTTTTTGGGGTTCCTTCAAGGGCTCCGCTAAGGAATCTGAGGGTCCCTTTAAGGGCTCCTTCAAGGGATCCTTTACGGAATCTACGAATCGTTTAAGGGTTTCTTGAGAGGAAAGGGGTCTGTCATAGCTATACTAGGTCTTTGAGGCTTCCTTAAGGGGTCTCATAAAGGGGGTTCATGGGGCGTTACGCAGGGGCCTTGATGATTACAATAGGGCTAGGGGGTGCAACTACTCGGGCTTCTGAGAGGTGGAGGGTTGCCTTTATTAATTAAAATCTACACTGACGTGGCTATCAAGAAAGTATATTGCATGGGTTTCTAGCCTTGTGGGGATTGGATCGGAGTAAGGTTCACTTGCGAGTTGTACCGCACACCAGAGTCTGCAGCGTCGTGTGTGTGATGCCATGTTTCGGGAGCTAGCATAATATAGGGGCCTGAATAATAATTTGAATAGGATTTGGGGCCCTTATATTACAAATATCATAAGACCAGATGATGGATGCGAACCTACAGTCTTTGCTGTTGGGTTCAATGATTTTCGCCTTATTGTTGATCCCGCTAATAACTCCCCTGAGAAGTGACTTGGCCTGAGTTGGCTCAAAAGTAGCCATATCCTTGTATTCCAAGGTTATGGCATGCACCACCCCAGTGCAGATGCACGAAAACACAATGGCGAAGAAGTCTCTCCCGCATAACTCCGTGCTTCGTGCATGAATTGATGTCGGCAAGGCCGGGAAAGAAGTCTCTCATCCCCGGGTAGCCATTGGCTTCGACAGTCCTGGCACTGGCTGTACTGGTGCCATTGCACCGACCATCTCTTTTCGAGCTCCAGCAAGGCCTGGAATGAAGCTTTTGACCAGTCCAGAGTCAAAGAAGACACTCTGCCAGGACCTGGCTGTTCCTTTGCCTTCCGTTCAAGCAGTTCCGGTTACGACTTGCTGCATCCCTCTCTCGTGCGAGACCCAAACCCCAGCAAAGCCTGCGAACCGTCGGTTATCCCTCTTCGTTGTAGGGCCCCGTTAGGATATTGGCCACCTCTGATGACTAAACCGTCCTATACAGTAGGCACCAAGCCCTAAACGGGAGCCTCTGCGCACCTAAACACAGACCCCGAATCCCTAAACCACAAATGCGCTCTACCCCTTCTGTAACCCTCGCCCCCCAATACTTTTTTGGAGCCCGTACCACAAGGGTCCTATGGACTACCGATAGAAAGCTGGGCCCTACCAGGCCGTCCTCTTTGTAGCTTGGGGACCTAATTCCATATTTGGTAGTACATATGCGCCCTCTGGGCTATAAAGCCATGCGTTTAGATACTGTAGCAAACAGGCCCTGTATGACAACAAGAATCGCAACGGAACCGTGGGTGCAACAGACCCAAACCATCAGCTATAGAAACTTCAAGCCCTACACCTGAGACCCTAAAGCTTAAACCCTAAATCTTATGCCCCAAAACCCTGAACCTTAAACCCTCAACTGAGACCTTAAAACCCTAACCCCTGAACCTTTAACCATGAACCCTTGACTGAAGCCAGGCCTTTGCTTTCGCAGCGCCGACCTCGGGCTTAGGGTTTACGATGTACTTGGCTTTGAAATTACCAGGGAGAAAAAGTACAAACTGCTGTTTTATAATGGCTCCTTTAAGAAAACGTATGACAGTATTGTACTCCAAAGCCCAAAAGTAGGCAAAATAAGGGCCCAAAGCCTATAAAAGGCCATTATTCTACATACTTTTGGGGGTCCAGGTACGCCAAAGCCCAGGTTTAGGCGTTTTGTCGCAGTCACGGCCCAAGCTTTCGGCTAAAGAGCGGGGTCCTCAAGCATCAGAAC